AGATTGATGTGGATACAATGTATCAGATTGATGTGGATACAATGTATCAGATTGATGTGGATACAATGTACTAGATTGATGTGGATACAATGTATCAGATTGATGTGGATACAATGTACCAGGCTATGTGATAATAACATATATGGATACAAAAAAACCCATTTGCTCCTTTACACAACCACTACGTACCTTGACACATTACTTACCAACTTGAGTCGTTCACACAATACTCTGCTGTATTATTGTTTGTATGGTTTATTTGATTAAATATTACTTTTTCACAGCAATTTTTTTTTTTATATTAAAAATATTGAAGTCACAAAAAATTAAAACTATCACAGCATTACAATGAATTCTAAATATCAGGCTGTTCTCATTAAAATAAACAAATCCTACTTCTATTATTGTGTAACCATCACTTGCAGTTTTTTTATATAGATAACACTATGGATATGTGACTGTCAGTCCAGATTAGAGTACATCATTGCCCCAGAAGTTAGATGTTTGGACTCTTTGATCTTGGCCACAGCATACTCAAGGTCAGCCATGGCTATTTTTCTCAGTGGTGGCAGTTTGGTGTCACTGCAAACAAAACAAATACCTGTGGTCACAATCTCATAATAAAACCTTATGAAAGGCTTCACCTATACAGCATGAAACATTCAGGGTAACATTCTTCATGTTTTATGTCTATGAACTTTCAATGATGCTGGTATAATTTGTGGTAAGTCAATGGCCTAGAGCAAATTTTAAGTTTATAAAGTATTTGTGTACTGACCCCACAAAGCCAGGGGTGTCCTGACCCCCACAAAGCCAGGGGTGTCCTGTCCGCTACAAAGCCAGGGGTGTCCTGACCCCCACAAAGCCAGGGGTGTCCTGTCCGCTACAAAGCCAGGGGTGTCTTGACCCCCACAAAGCTAGGAGTGTCCTGACCCCACAAAACTAGGGGGGTCCTGACCCCCCAAAACTAAGGGGGTCCTGACCCCCACAAATCCAGGGGTTCCTGTCCCCCACAAAGCTAGGGGTGTCCTGACCCCCACAAAGCTAGGGGTGTCCTGACCCCACAAAGCTAGGGGTATCCTAACCCCCCACAAAGCTAGGGGTGTCCTGACCCCCACAAATCCAGGGGTTTCCTGACCCCCACAAAGCCAGGGGGGTCCTGTCCCCCACAAAGACAGGGGGGTCCTGACCCCTACAAAGCCAGGGGGGTCCTGACCCCACAAAGCTAGGGGTGTCCTGGCCCTCACAAAGCTAGGGGTTTCCTGACCCCCACAAAGCTAGGGGTTTCCTGACCCCACAAAGCTAGGGGTGTCCTGTCCCCCACAAAGACAGGGGTGTCCTGACCCCCACAAAGCTAGGGGTGTCCTGTCCCCCACAAAGACAGGGGGGTCCTGACCCCTACAAAGCCAGGGGTGTCCTGACCCCACAAAGCTAGGGGGGTCCTGGCCCTCACAAAGCTAGGGGTTTCCTGACCCCCACAAAGCTAGGGGCTTCCTGCCCTCACAAAGCTAGGGGTGTCCTGTCCCCACAAAGCCAGGGGTGTCCTGACCCCCACAAAGCCAGGGGCGTCCTGACCCCCACAAAGCCAGGGGTGTCCTGACCCTCAAAATGCCAAGGGTGTCCTGACCCCCACAAAGCCAGGGGTGTCCTGTCCCCCACAAGGACAAATTTCTTAACCTCAACAAGGACAGGTATATCCTGACTCCACTAGGACTAATATCTTTGCCCACCTCGGGGGTAAGACAGAAAAATCTCTACCCAAGGAGTAAGATTCACAAAGGCATCAAGTGACAGACATTTAAATCTTACTCCAAGGCTTTACTCCTAAAGTGGTGGATGATTATTTTTCTCCCACATCAAATTGTAATTTCATAAGAAATGCTTTCATAATTTTTAGCAGATCAGAGTTATCTTCCGTGATCTACTTTTGTGACGTCTTTCAATTGTTATAACAGGGGAATCACCCCACCTTAACCCCAAGTTAAGACAGAGACATCTTTCCCTGTCCAGAAGTGTGTATAGCTCTGCCTAATGACGGAGAAAGATATATCCTGACCTCATCAGGACAGATATATCCTGACCTCACAGGGACAGGTATATCCTGACCTCACAGGGACAGGTATATCCTGACCTCACAAGGACAGGTATATCCTGACCTCACAAGGACAGATATATCCTGACCTCACAGGGACAGGCATATCCTGACCTCACAGGGACAGGTATATCCTGACTTCACAGGGACAGGTATATCCTGACCGCACAGGGACAGGTATATCCTGACCTCACAGTGACAGGTATATCCTGACCTCACAAGGACATATATATTCTGACCTCACAAGGATAGATATATCCTGACCACACAGGAACAGGTATATTCTGACCTCACAAGGATAGATATATCCTGACCACACAGGAACAGGTATATTCTGACCTCACAAGGATAGATATATCCTTACCTCACAGGAACAGGTATATCCTGACCTCACAAGGACAGATATATCCTGACCTCACAAGGACAGATATATCCTGACCTCACAAGGACAGGTATATCCTGATCTCACAAGGACAGGTATATCCTGACCTCACAAGAACAGGTATATCCTAACCGTACAGATGAGATTTGACCCCAAAAAGACAAATGTGTCTTGGGACCATAACAACCTCTACAGATGAGTTTTGACCCCAAAAGGACTACTGAGTCTTGGGACAATAACGACCTCTACAGATGAGCTCTGACCCCAAAAGGACAAATGTGTCTTGGGACCATAACGACCTGTTTATAAAACATTGTATGATCCAGGAAACAGTTATAATTGGTTCAGCATTGGTTATAGGGTTGAGCATCCTATTAACAGCTAAAGTCACTCAAGGATATGCCTCCATGTATGAAACGTACATGGATGTGTGTATGTGTGCTGGAGGCAGTTAATATTGGCCCCTTTGTGCTTAGATCTGATGCTGACCTTGGAAATCTACCTCACTAAAATCCCATGCAAAGGCACCCAGCAAAGTACTCTGCTCAGTCAGATTATACTGAAAATGAGTAAACCAGTTTTAGGGCTTACCCTAAATACTGAATATTTAGCTGGGAATAACAGATACCATTTCCAAGGACTTTGGAAAGTCCAGATCTTTCTTGAATGGTCATTAAGCACAGGTTATAGACTGAATATTACTTGTTGTCAACTACTCACAAGAAATCCTCTCCTAAGTCATCCTTGGCTTTCTGTAAGACCTCATGAACTCTGTTGAGAGCACCAAGTCTACAGGCCTCCTTCAGGTCGCTTCCACAAAACTGTTCAGTAATTTCTCCAAGTTTATTGAAGTCAAGGTTCTCAATCTACAATTTTAAACCAATATCTTTCAAATGTGATCTCTGTTAACTTCTTCTTACATAAACAATAACACTGTCATGTCAGGTAGGACCCTGCCAAGTACATATCCTAAACTGTCATGTCAGGTAGGACCCTGCCAAGTACATATCCTAAACTGGCGGGTCACAATCACATGTCATCAGACTACAATAGTAACGTGACATCACAGTGTACCTTTATATTAATCATATTCATCCGACACCATCCTATGTGAAAAGACAGAAGATAATTTCATCAAAATATTAAACCTAGTTTCTACAGGCCACAGTAAAATTTGGCGCTAGTTTGAACACGTCACTATTGTAGTGTGGTGAGTCCCCCCCCCCGTCAGGATGGGACTGAGTGTTAATGAAAATAACATAAACAGAAGAAGAAAACAAGTTTCTTTAGAATTGGATATATAAAAATAGTAGTTATTGGTTATTTTTTCCCGACAAATTAATATCAAATTTTCCCAATGTTTTGAGATATATTTTTTTCTAACCTGTTTTTTTTTTAATTAGTATTATTTTTTGCCTTTTATGTGATTTATTTACTTTTAAATGTTTATAGCTTTATCCAAATCCTATGTCACGTGTAAACCTTCCTAAAATCCTTTAAAATATCAATAAATCTTCAATTTTGGCTCTAGCAAAGTAATTAGAGGCTTCAGAATAACACAAATGATTCAACACTACCATGTTATATGCTATATAATTTATATTTTAAATGTCTCACGAATTTCTCACGAATTCAGAGATTAAATCTCACTATTTTTGACCAAATCTCACTAAAAATTATCACCGATCTCACTATTTTGCACCGGAAAGTTATGGCATGTATGGGTGACATGAAATTGTGACGTCATGACATTGTCTTTTTAAAATATACCCAGAGCCATGTGAAGGTGGAAGCTGCCTGTTTTTTTAGTTAGTCATTATATTTTATTTTTTCTATACTTACCTACTTTACGAGGACATTAATTCTTTTTAGTTATATAAATATATAATGAAGCCTGGAAAACACATTAAGAAGGAATTCATTATATATATACAGCCCTATACCAATGTTGTACATGTATGTCAACATTGAGGGGAATACTGTACGAGACCGTCAAAGATGTGTGATATACACAATTAATTTCAGTAGTTTTCAGAACAGTAATTCAATTGTGGTATCTCAGACTCATGTTGAACTGTTTAATAATGCAATACATTACCTGTTCCTTTTCCAGGATAATCTTTAAGATATTGCTTCTCTGAATTTTTTCCTAAATATGGAAAGGAAAAACTCCATGATCATGTGACAAAAAAACATCAATACATGTATAAATATATAATAAGGTAGTATTATATGTGTCATAGAGAGATGTGTGTAATGTGTGTTACATACAGAGATGTCATAGAGAGATGTGTGTAATGTGTGTTACATACAGAGATGTCACAGAGAGATGTGTGTAATGTGTGTTACATACAGAGATGTCATAGAGAGATGTGTGTAATGTGTGTTACATACAGAGATGTCACAGAGAGATGTGTGTAATGTGTGTTACATACAGAGATGTCCAATATGATAATGGCAATTATTATCATATAGATCTTTTTATTGGTTGGAATCTCAGTATCGTAATTATTACAAAATAATAACTAGAAGAAATTACCTTTTATAGGAGATATTAAAAAGGAATATTCCAAAATATGATGGCTCAGAAAGAAATGCATACAGGCCTCAAATATTTGCTTTCTAATAAAAATTATCAAGAATTCATTTCTTCTTCATACTAGATTTACAAAACTTGGTGTTTTTTTTAACTCTTTAGTCTAGATCTTATTTACAAAACAAATATAACATTAACTAAGATCCAGATGATATGTCCAGTAAGGGCTGACCAAGCTAAACTGGACAGATGATATGTCCAGTAAGGGCTGACCAAGCTAAACAATTTAAACCTTGTTAAGAAGTCTGATAGAGTTGCCTACAATCCTTGGAGTGAGGTAAACTTGCCACTACCAGCACTCTACAGTTCAAACAATGTCAAACACTTTAAAACATACCGGTTTATTTATCTGGATCATGCAAGGCATCCTGCGGAGAATGGCAGCATCAACGTCCTGTGGTCTGTTGGTGGCTCCGATCACCATGATCTGACAGTTAGGGTCAGTGATGATTCCGTCCCACAAACTCATGAACTGTGTCTTCATCATAGCTGTTGCCTCATGGTCATGCGACTGTCGTGCCCGGAGAAATGAATCTAGTACAACAAATTTATCATATAAACTATTTTGTTATAGCGTAAATGCTTATAAAGAGATTATTCAGGTATAATTCTATCAAATATTATTGTAACATTTAAGTTTAAATGAAATGGCAACCTCAGCCTTTTCCATGAAACTGAAAATGTATGTTGTTTTGACCAGAATATGGTGTAAAACACATCTTCACCCATAAACGTAACAACACATGTTTGGTGACAGTCATTCAAGTGCATATAACATCAAAGCATTTGTTTCTTTTCTGTTCATTGGTGGAAAATCTAAGTGGGAGATAAAGCTGTGGTGCAAAACAACTCTTATCCATTGATGTTGAAACAGAACAAGAAGTTTGGTTAACCTTCATCAAAAAATGTAATTAAGTTAAATGGTACAGGGTGATGGGAAGTATTTCATTTTTTGTTCAGCAGATTGGAAAACATAGGTCACTGTGACCTAATTAAACATCCATTCCTAGATGTAACAGTACACAAGTTTACTGAACTTGCATAAGAATGCAAGGGAATTATGGAACAAAGTTAACTAACTGTTCTGTACAGAGGGAAATATAGGTCACTGTGACCTAGTTATGGTGTGCAACAACCCTTCCCCCCAAGATGTAACAGCACATAAAGTTTGGTGAAACTAGGTGTAAGAGCAAGGAAATTGTGGCCTTGAAACTGATTTTATTTGTTGTTCAGTGGAGTGGAAAATGAAGGTCACTGTGACCTAGTTATGATTCAACATTTGGTGAAAAACCACATTAAATTCTGAGAACCTGCAAAAAAATAAAATGGAACGATGACCCAATGCCAGAAACAATCATCATGGTCACAATTGCACACACAGACAACATCAATACATGTACTATGTACTGAAAAGTGTATAAAATTTCAAAAGCAAAACGTATTAAAATAAAATGACCAGTATTATGAAGGAAATCTGTGTCTACTTTTATGAGACATGAAATTCGAATTATTAAAATTTCATTTGAAATCAAATATCTACAAAATTTAGATGTATAGATGAATTATTTTGCAAAAATAGAAAAGAAACTAAATTCTCCATTCATTTTTCTGTTTCTCACTTGTGTAACTTACCAATTTCATCGATAAATATGATACTTGGTTGTAGTTTTATGGCCTGTAATATATATTAAAAAAAAAATTAAGAAATTTACCAAATTATGCAAAATCTTCTGATAACCTGAAATATAGTTAAATATTTATAGGTAATGAGCAAAGTGTTAATTGTACCAAGTTCTATGAATTGAATGGATTAATTGTTAATGGTCCAAATCATATTCATACAAATTATACATTAAAATAACTCAAAATAACAACAAAGAAAGCTAAGGCTTATCAATGTACCCCATCTTCCCGATCCTCTCCCCTCGTCGTGATTCAGATTGTGACCTTTTGTGTATGATCCTTGGGGTATTCCACAACACTGTCTATTTCTATATCAACATTTATGAATCAAAATTGTTATCAACTTCAATTAATCTTTCTTGTTGGCCCAGCTGGAAGTGTTGGAGGAACATTTACCAGGGTACCTGGAAAAAACCCACTTTGTTGGACAGGTGACTTTACACCTATTTATGTCTGATTGGGAAATCAACCGTTTTGGTTTGGACAAGGATAACCATGATTTAATCTTTGACCCCTTACACTAACCTTGTACATATGTATCTAAGAGTGCTAAGCAACACTCTTCACTGAAAGTTACAGATATTTAGAAAATAGAGTCTGGACAATAAGGCCTATCATACGATGCATGATTTATGTAAATTTCATATTAAATATTAAATTGATAAGATAATTGGGTGAAAGTATAACAAAACATCTCCCTGTTTCTTATACTGGGGTTTCATGTGTTATACCACAATCACACAATTTTATTATATACAAATGCTAACAAGGCTTCGTAAAATTAACTAATTAGCTCTATGTTTATGCAATGTTGCAACTGACTGTTGAACCTGCTTACCAGTGAGAATACAGCTTCAGCACGCTTCTGTGATTCCCCATACCATTTGTCAACCAGCGAGGAAATTTGTAAGTTTATAAATCGAGCACCTGTAATGAAAGAACGTCATTTAATACAATTTCAGGTGAAATTTCCTAGCAGTAATGACTAAATTATTTGGTTTTACTTGTTGACTCTTATCTTAAATGTAGTTTCTCCTTCAATGGCATGTGTGTGAAACATTCCTCTTTATTCTGTTAATCAATTAAATAACCAACATCACACATGGCTCCTATTGAACTTTTTGAACAAGGCTATCAAAATAATATGGACATTCAGGCTTCAATATTTAAGAAGAAATGACCTTGAACCAATGCCCTTTTTATTTGACATACCTGCACACTTTGCTGTAGCTTTGGCAAGCATTGTTTTACCACAACCAGGAGGACCATAGAACAATACTCCTGGAAAAGCAAACACATACATTTATACAATTCTAGAAGAGGATTATGAAATAACATCTCTACGAAAGCAAACATGTTTATGTTACATTATTTAGAATAAATCTGATTTCGTTTTTAACCATAAACTACATATCACCTGATGGTACATTATTTTGTTCTTTATGAGAAGCTCTGTAGTACTGGATAGTGGTTTTTTTTGTCTAGTTAACTCAGCCAGTCAATTGTTAAAAGGACTGTTGCCTGGTCAGCAAAAACTGCTGCCCACTGCAGAAAATAGCATGTGATGATGTTGTCTGGGTAACAGTAATCATCATGGACAGAAGATTGTTTTAGAACTTAAATTGCAACGTGGCAAAACAGATCGTTTGCAGGTATCGTTTGCATTGTGATCGTTTGCAAGTTATTCTGTCATTATGTTGAGAAGACAAAACAAAATTTCCAGAAAGTCTGTACTTCAAAAGATCAGAATATTCGATATTATTGATACATATACATGAATTTCAAGAAGATGGGTATGATTTTTGCTTGTAGCTAGGATAAAGAATTGTCAAACCTCGGGTCACAGAACCGTATTTTATGATTAGGCAGGCATTGGTTTGAATTAGTTTCCCCTTGGTGTATGGACCAACCAAAACACTCATTGCCCTCAGCCTTTAGTTACAGGCAGTAGTATTTTGGTCGGTCCAACCACCCCAGAAAAAGTCATTCAGATTATTAACGACAAGTGTTTAATAATTACATGTTCGGTAATTGATTACCTGAATCTTGAAGAATATCACAATGAAATGGGGAGAATTCAATTACTATTCAAAAGTTCATGATAATCTTCTGCTATTTTTGTATAGAAAGTGTTTGCTACTTCCAGACATAACATCCAGTCATAGGCTCAATTAACAAGGGAAGGCAATTTTCAGCATTTTAGTTGACGCTGAATGTTTTTATCAATTTCAAATTATTGATTTTCTGAAAATCAAAACCAAACGAATCAAGACATGAAAACATTGTTTCAACTTTTAATTTTTTGTGAAGGAAACAGCGAATGAAGTCAGCTGTTTCTTTGATGCTGCTCTAGTTAGTGACCTGGCTATGAAGTTAACAGCAGGAACATTTAAACTGTAAAACCTGGTTGTGCTTTTTAATGTAAAAACAACAAGAGGCCCATGGGCCTTAACGGTCACCTGAGTCCAACAGTATTCATTTTTGTTGTTGAAATATGAATGGAGATAATGATGTCAATCATCCCTACCAAAATTTGAGTAAAAAATAGTAAAGTATAACTTCAGTTAAGTTTGTCAGGGCAATGAGTTGATCATTCCTTGACCTAGTTTCAGTTAATTTGGCCTATAAGAACTTGATTTTAAGTTTTAAATAGGTTTTTTTCCACAATGGCAGCCATGGCGGCCAAATTGAATTTTTGCTGGACCTGAAAAAAACATTTTGCCAGGACCATGAGTCGATCATTCCTACCAAGTGCCCAGTAGAACTTGACTTTAAGTTTAAAATAGTTTTTCAAAATGGCGGCCGTGGTGGCCATATTGGATTTCTGATTGACCCCAAAAAATAACAACACTTTGTCACAGTTAAATGGGCCTAGTAGAACTTGACTTTAAAGTATGAAATAGTTTTTCAAAATGGCCGGTCCTAGCAGTCATATTGGATTTTTTATCGACCCGAAAAATAACAACACTTTGTCAGGACCATGAGTCGATCATTCCTACCAAGTTTCAGTAAAAACGGCCCAGTAGAACTTGACTTTAAAGTTTGAAATAGTTTTTCAAAATGGCCGGCCCTGGTGGCCATATTGGATTTCTGATTGACCAAAGAAATAACAACACTTAGTCAAGAACATAAGTTGATCATTCCTACCAAGTTTCAGGTTAATCGGCCCAGTAGAACTTGACTTTGGCCCAGTAGAACTTGACTTTAAGTTTGAAATAGTTTTTTAAAATGGCGGCCCTGGTGGCCATATTTGATTTCTGATCGACCCGAAAAATAACAACCCTTGGCTAGGGAGTTGTCAGTAACATTCCCATGAAGTATCAATGAAATCCCTTTGACAGTATTTCAGCTTAAGTTGAAAAAGTAAAATGGTAAAGCTCAGGTGACCTAAAAATGTAAGTATCACACACCATTTGTATTGTCTGAGACACATATGTAAGTTATACCAGTCTTCTGTTTCAATATACACACAACGCAGTTTAGAAACTATACATACCTTTTGGAGACTGGAGCAGAGAGGAGTTGTAAAACAGATCTCTCCTTCTGAAGGGAAATATGACGGTTTCCTTGATTTGCTCAACCACTGCGTCGAGACCCCCGATGTCCTTCCAGTCCACAGACACACTAAGTGGATCCACCAAGTTAGCCGCAATGCAAAGCTCGTGGTCCGACAGCTGAAGTGACAGTTAACAAACATAGATCTATATCAGTCACGGAGAAACATTCCTCATTGAAGTCATCACACTGTTGGTCCACACACTGATTAATATATATATGTTGATTGATGCAAGAACAGCTTCAGATGACAGTAGACGTGCACTCTATTACTTGTATATATCGGGATACGATTGGCGTACCAATATAGAATCATGTGTTGTGATTTTAAAACTCATGAAAAAACAATTTTTGTTTCATATCATTATATTTCAAAATGAGTCCTAAAACTTTGTCCAAAAATTTATCTGCAGTCAATCAGAATGTTACAATGAGAAAACACATTGTTAACCTTAGGATATTTTAAATCTCCTCTATTGTCTCTTAAGATCTATCTCTTTGAAACTTCACACAATAACAAAATGGCAGAGGAAGACTTAACAAAGGCCTACTGATCTACAACAATTAGGAAGGTATTAATTTACTGATAACTGGAAAAGACTGTATGGGCATACTACAACAACGGAACAGTTTCCATAGAGTCTTTTCAGGTTATCTCCATACACTCATCTCCGGTCAGTCATCTTAAGACAATTATCTTTGACAAACATACTATTATTTAAATATTAAATTAATCTAGATGCCAGTATATGCTAACCCTGGTTTACATTGGTCCAATTATCTCTGGTGGTTTTGGGTAAACATTAATCCGTCTAGATAAAAAATACAGGTTTTCCTTCCGTTTCAGGCAATACTGAAAAATGCCTCATTAGTGGCACCATGATCTGTGTCATAATTAGTGGTGTCATTATCTATCTCATTAGTGGCACCATGATCTATCTCATTAGTGGTGTCATTATCTATCTCATTAGTGGTGTTATTATCTATCCCATTAGTGGTGCCATGATATATCTCATTAGTGGTGTCATTATATATCTTATTATTGGTGCCATGATCTGTCTCATTAGTGGCGCCATGATATATCTCATTTGTGGCGCCATGATCAGTCTCATAAGTGGTGTCATGATCTATCTCATTAGCGGCACTATGATCTATCTCATTAATGGTGCCATGATCTATCTCATTAGTGGTGTCATTATCTATCTCATTAGTGGCGCCATGATCTGTCTCATTAGTGGCACCATGATTTATTTCATTAGTGGTGTTATTATCTGTCTCATTTGTGGTGCCTTGATCTGTCTCATTAGTGGTGTTATTATCTGTCTCATTTGTGGTGCCTTGATCTGTCTCATTAGTGGTGTTATTATCTGTCTCATTAATGGTGCCATGATCTTTCTCATTAGTGGCACCATGATCTATCTCATTAGTGGAGTCATTATCTATCTCATTAGTGGCACCATGATCTATCTCATTAGTGGTGTCATTATCTACCTCATTAGTGGTGTTATTATCTATCTCATGAGTGGCACCATGATCTGTCTCATTAGTGGTGTCATGATCTGTCTCATTAGTGGTGCCTTGATCTGTCCCATTAGTATTAGTGGTGCCATGATCCGTCTCATTAGTGGTGCCATGATCTCTCTCATGAGTGGCACCATGCTATATCTCATTAGTGGTGTTATTATCTATCTCATGAGTGGCACCATGATATATCTCATTAGTGGTGTCATTATATATCTTATTATTGGTGCCATGATCTGTCTCATTAGTGGCACCATGATTTATTTCATTAGTGGTGTTATTATCTGTCTCATTTGTGGTGCCTTGATCTGTCTCATTAGTGGTGTTATTATCTGTCTCATTTGTGGTGCCTTTATCTGTCTCATTAGCGGCGCCATGATATATCTCATTTGTGGGGCCATGATCTGTCTCATAAGTGGTGTCATGATCTATCTCATTAGTGGCACTATGATCTATCTCATTAATGGTGCCATGATCTATCTCATTAGTGGTGCCATGATCTATCTCATTAGTGGTGCCTTGATCTGTCCCATTAGTGGTGCCATGATCTATCTCATTAGTGGTGCCATGATCTAACTCATTAGTGGTGCCTTGATCTGTCTCATTAGTGGTGCCATGATCTGTCCCATTAGTGATGCCATGATCTGTCTCATTAGTGGTGTTATTATCTGTCTCATTAATGGTGCCATGATCTTTCTCATTAGTGGCACCATGATCTATCTCATTAGTGGTGCCATTATCGGTCTCATTAGTGGCGCTATTATCTATATCATTAGTGGCGCCATGAACTGTAGATGCTGTCATCATATGCCCTCACCTGTTTTATATGTAAACCACAAACAAAATGTCTCACTTACCTTCACATCCTTTACACCTAAAAGTTGAAGCATTTTCTGGGCCTGTAAGTAAGCATGTAGGTCATGTTAATTGAATATGCCCAATTGGATAGAACTTAATATTAGCATGTAGACAATTCAAATGAAATATCAGCTCAGAGAGGAATGTATCAGTCGTTGATGGTGCAGAGCGGGGTTAGTGTCTATCACCTGGCTTAAATTCTGGTGGCTTCCTTCGGACTGAACATGGGATAACATTTACTCATCTCAGTAACAATTTTATTGCTGAAATGGGGAGTAAAGCGAAATCAAAACAAACAAATTTCTTTTAAAATACTTAGGGCAAAAAAGTACATCATTCTTTCAACTAAATCCAATTAATACCACAATGAAGAACATTTGTGGTAGAGCATCCGACTAGGAACCTGGAGATCGAGGGTTCCTGTTACATACATAAAAAAAAGTCAATTTTGATGTCTAACTTTTTGTGAAAAAGACAAACCATATCACTGACTTTGTTCTCTCCATTGACTTCAGTGTATAGTCAATGGGATCATCTAGTGCAAATTTGACCGGTAAGCATTATTTTTTTCTGTGTGCTATTTATAGCTACAGCACACTATAAGCAATGGAGGCGATATGATTTGTCATTTTCACAAAGATTTAGACAACTAAATTAACATACTTTTGTGCACAATTGTACCTCATTGTATTATTTATTGAATTATGCTGAAAGAATAACGCTTTTTTTTGCTTATATTGTTTAAAAGAACTTGATGTGTTTTCATTTCACTTTATTCCCCATTTCAGTAATAAAATTGTTACCCAAATGCATGATTATTACCCATATGCACTGTTGTGCTTAACCTGTTCAACGGGAAACAATGTTATGTAGTATAATGTACATTAGCCAGAGTTTCCTTTGGCCCTGACTCCAGACTTTAGACATTTTGACAGATAGATGTCTGGTGTGGGGCCAGGGCGCACTGATATATGAAAACGTGGAATTCTCCAACACGGTTTGGTGTCGGAGAGTTTTGAGGTGCTGACAACAAAAATTGACTATGACAAAACACAAACCTCACATATATCGATCGATAAATGAATTATAAATTGATCCAAATCCGCTCACCAACAGCTGCTAAATTCCGTCAGTAGAGTCCTCGGTTTTCAATCGTTCAAATTTCCCACCTGAGCGAACTTCATTTTTGTAGGTCATGGGAGTGTTTTGGCCTCAGACCACAATTAATTATACTATATGTTACTACCAAAGGAAAAATGAAATTAAAATATTGTAAAACTTTGAGCAGGGTCTGGTTCCTATTTCATATTGTAGGTCTATTCAAACTGAACATACAGTGAGCTAGAAAGTACCTCATGACCGGCATTTAAGAAATATAATTTCATTTGAATGTCACTACCCCAGTGGCGGATCCAGAGGGTTTTTTTGGGCTTCGATATTGCTGAACAATTCTATGTAAAAAAAATGTTCAAATCTGTCATAGATCAAGACAGGAAAAATTATTTATCACTGGCCTGAATGTCCTTATGCACTACATTCGTGTACAACGACCCGGAAGTGTTTTTGTGGTCTGAGGCCTTTTATCAAGAAGACGTACTGATCCGGACCGAAAACGGAACAATAATTCTTGCTTGGAAGTTTCTGGACTGTCGCTTTTTGTTGATTAGTCACACCCATGACCTACAAAAATGGTGTTTGCACAGGTGGGAAATTTTGACTCCTTCATTAACTCCTGTTACATTTTGCGCCAAACGAAATATACCCACAGAAAGTGGTATAGGGTCTCGTGCGTCTTCAAGGTCGAAGACTTTGTTACAGGACGGAGGAATGTGGCGGAACTAGACTGGGTCGATCGTGGACGACCAGCTAGCTCAATTGGGTTTGAACCCCGGTCTTGCCTTGCATTTTCCTTCTCCTGTTACAATATTACGTCTCCTTCCATCGGGAGAAATTTGTTAAAAAATTGTTCTGAGTTTTTTAAATACTGTTTCATGTTGCTAATTTTTTTTTCTATTAGTAAATTGTGTACATGTCTATGACAGTCATCAATTATTTCAATAGTTTTCTGCCGATATGAGTACGAAATTGCGACTGCTTCTTAGGTGTGCGGAAACGGATAACACAAGGATATTAATATCTCAATTTACAGTCAGAATTTCAAACACCTTTGATATATGTGAGGTATGTATCTAAAGTCTGGTGTCAGGGCCAGAGGTAGTACTAATATTAATAGTTATACCCAGCCTTCTCTGCCCTGGCCGGGTATTAAATCGATCCCATGCCTTGTAATGGAGCAAGCCCGGTGTGAATCACACCGGGGTGATTTTAGAATTAATTGACAGCACATTGGTCTGCATCCATAAATAGGGTTGTAGTTTGAACTATTTCTGTTGTTATCTTGCCCAACTTGAAATTAAACTATCGTTTAATTATCAAGTTAACGTAGCAAGCGCAATCGAAATCTGAATTGACCGCCATGTTAGAAAGTTTGTCTCTCTTCAGGTATAAGTCAGACATCTAAATATGGGTGTCATGATCATGACCCAATGTGGAAATTGTAGCAAACATGGCGGCATCAGTAGTAATACATAAATAATAAAATAATAATAATAATCTTTATTTAACGTCGTGTACAATTGTCAACAACAAACATAAGCTCTGTAGAGCTTTTTATTACGACGGCGCTAAGGGAACAAATGGTGTTTTCGTGGTGGAGGAAAACCCATGGGGGGGAAACCACCGTGCCATTGGAGGGATAACAACTAACCCTATCAGACATCCCTCTCTTATTTCCACCACCGCTGGGGATCGAACCGAAATTCTTGGGAGAGCGAGTGGTCTGAAGCTCACGCTTGATAGCACACAGTAGTACAATGACTGTGCGCGTTAGCGATCACGGCTACCGAGGCACCAAATATAGAAAGGATAATTGAGATAACATCACGCCTGATCTACCATGGCGATTGTTTCTGGGGTTTACCCCAAGACGGACGTGGTTAATTTCATTGAAAGAGGTTTTTTTCATTGACATTGGTAAGGATTCGCTTTTTCAACAATTTTTCAATATTTCGATAACATTATACTCATATATGAGGCGTGAAATATATGTAATCTTACAGATTAGCACTTTTGATTTTGCTCCATTAGTTGGCATAGGATCGCTTCGTTGCTCTGACGACGCAATATAAATCAGTGAGAAAGCTACGTTATCGAAGCTAGGCCAGAGGAAACTCGGGCTAAATGACATGCATTACGCAACCATAAATACTAAAATAGTAATACTCCGACAGGATGAAATTAAAACTACTGTGACAAAATGACATTCACTCCCTACCCTTGCTGTCGCCGTTTTTCTGTCTTTATGCGTCGGATCCATCACGTTTGACAACCATTTTATAGCGAAATATGTTATGCCGAATGAAGCGGCCAATCCTATGAGTGTTGACAATAATTTGGCTGCGATTTCCTGTCTTCCGACTTTAGACAATAGTTCTCCATTTTCCTCTATGGCAATTTCACGAGCTGATAAGAAATTTCCAGAAAGATTTTCTCTGAGAAAGGATCGAGAGGACGTAAAGGCACGAAGTAGAATCTGACCGACGGTTTCATCACCTGTGGCTGTGGAGCTCGCCATCTTGATTCTGAATAACGCACCGAGATAAAAACGAAACTAGAACCTCAGCTAGACCAACAAAAATATATTTGCAGTTACCATATCACATTATCACTCACCAATCTGATTAATACAAAACCAGAAAATTGTTAAATCATTCTAATTACATAGTGAATGATGGTTTGTATATTTTTACAAACGTATAGGCTGATGTTAGCGTTCCGCTATTTCCGTTTTATATCGACACATATTGTTCAAAGTGAAAGTAGCTTATTCTTCATGAGCTGATTTTAAGCGACTTATTCAATTTCTTGCTGCCATTTTTATATGGACATGAAAATTAAACATCTGTGGTAAATTTCATATCTTTATATACACTATGTGTGATATTTGTATGAAGAACTATGACCACGGACTAGATAGCAGTCTAATTCCGTGCTATGAGTATACGTATGACCTATACTGTCTTCCTTGTGTGCGAGATTACATTTTTGTCTGAGTCACTTCCTAAATATTTCAGTATGTGAATATTGGATACAGAAAATGAAAACGTAATGATTCATGTTAACGAAATTAAACGAATTATATCAGACGTTTTTTTCTTCTCTATCTTATTACGTTACCAGCACAGCTCAGATGATCCAATTATAGCTGCTGTAATAGAACGAGTTTTTATTTGGGTTCAATTGGTTACTGACGTAGGCCTACACAAAATTTAAGAAAAAGGTATGCAACATTGAGTTAGTGGAAACAATCATAATATATAACAATAATGGGTACTTTGTTGAAAAAAGGATTAATCAGATCTGACAGTCCTGGTTTCAGTATATAGATAGTAACACAGGGACCCGGTAATTTGTTACAGCTGTAAATCGACTTAGAGTAATGTTTTGCGCTTTATGTGTTTAGATCGATACCATTTTATAGGGTTGCATTTTTATCAAAAAATTATCTAAAACAAAAACTCAAACGTGTAAAATTTCCCTGAACACCTCAATTTAGGTCCAAAAAAGTTGTAACAAATCATCATGTCCCTGTGGAGGCTAGTACCAGTGGTATGCGATCAGTGGTAACACATACAGAACATTGACGTACGTTTCTCCCACCCTTCACATGTGTGTCTCCCGTTTTAGCCGGGAAAGATCAGCTTATCATCCCCAAGGGGGAGATAGCCTCGTGTCGATTAGCACGTGTTCAATTGTGACGTCATTAAAATGCGTCATCGGTAATTGTGACGTCATTAAAAGTGAATGACGATATACATACCCCACATGTGTTTTTGTTTACAAACATGGCAGACTACTGTCGGTGGAGCTATGACTGAAATAAAAGGATGGGAGAAAAATAATCATCCTCTACTTTGAGGGTGTAACAGAGAAATCTCCAACCCTCGGGTTGATTTTTTTGGTTGTCTAACCCTCGGGTAAGACAACCAAAAAACATCACCATTCGGCCGGGTTGGAGATTTCTCTGTCACACCCTCAAGGTAGGGGAAGATTCTATTAGTCTTCTTTATTTTCCCGAGATTAAAGATAAACCAGTTCTAACTCAGGCTGTTGTAGATCTGACAATGGAATATATATTTATATATTTAATGTTCACTCCCTCCAGGAAATGTCAGACATTTTTTTCTATAGATAAAATGAACCATTTATAGCCGAGGTAAACAACAAATCACCTCCACATCATGGAACCGACACAATGTTTAAGGAACTCGAGGTAGCCAATCTTCTTTATGAAACCTTTGATTCAGGAAAAACATGTTTTATTTAAGTAAAAAGCAATATTTGATAATAAGTCAAATGAAGTGAAATCGAACATTAATACATAAACTGACGTCGATCCTCACCCCTAACCTACCCACCGACCTCTGTCTGAACAGCATGCTTAGAACACAGGGACCTCGGAATTTGTTACAGCTATAGTCGATCCAAACCCGAAAATACATGTAAATTTTACTCTGAACACCTTAGTTTAGGTCCATTAATATAGCTGTAACAAATTCGCAGGTGCCTGTGTCTTAGAATGATCTTATATAGGGCCTAACCTATAGTGACACACATAATTAAACATTGTCGGCATCTTTCATGCTTTATTTACATACATATAATACAAATTAAAAGTGATTTCACGTCTCCCTGAAAGTCCACTGAACTCAGTTGGTAGAGCGGCGGACAGTGAAGCTGGTAGGGGGTGAGGGTGTTCCAGTACGATCCGTGATGGAAGAACTTCTTCTACACTGAAATTACACCACAGTGGAATCAAGGAGATTAGGTACAGCGATTGAATGGTAATTAAAGTTTCGAATGTTGTATTTTAAATACAGATATAACTTTTTCTTGTTACATTATTATTCGGTTCAAATTATTATGTGTTACCAAAAAAATGTCTCATTCCTTCATTCTATACTCTTAATGTCTGCTATTTTCACAACCTACTAAGAATGCGTCTACAAAGAAACAAGTATATATACATGTTAGATACGTGAATGCGTACAATTACATAAGACAAATATGTCGAAACAGTATCGATGATGCAAAGTGTACATGTCGATAACAATCGACCAGGTGACCTGACTACCTGTACTATTTATAACGACACCGAGCTTACTTCCTCACCGTTACACCATTGGTCAGTTATATATAGACAGACAGTCAGCGGTTTCTTAAAAAATAACTAATAATAGACAGTTCTTTACGTTAACAAAACGGTTATTGGGTTTTGGCATAAATTGGAAATACTGGAAAAAAAACCCAGATAAAACCAGATGGATGTTTCAATAAATAACGCATCATTAACCGAATATTTCATTTCACCTACACAATATCACCTGCAATGATATCTAACCGTGCATGTAGACCGAGAATGGCCAAATACTGGTGGCTTGTTGTCTGTGTGTCTCTATTTTACAGTGACGTCACAGGTACGTATAATGCATACACTGTTTCAATCATCTTAATTTGAAGTAGGAACTGTGTGCTGTGTTACACTGACAATAAGGAACATCCCTTTTTTGGTATGGTGCACATATTTGTCTTCAAAATTTTCCGTTTTTAAAATTCTGATAGATCTTTATTTTTTTAAATTTAATTTAATTTTCGAAACTGGAATCCATCTAAACAGGATTATCATATAACGAAAAAGTCAAACTTATAAATTGTTGTTTTACTAAAATAAATATAAAGTTTATTTTTTTACAGCTTTACTAATACATCTATCTTGTTGGCCCGGATATTAGTCCGCGGGGGNGGGGGGGGTCTAACTGTGGGAGGAAACTGGAGTACCTGGAGAAAACCCGCGTGTTCGGGCAGGTAACCCTACACTTTTTCACGTCCGATCGGGGTATCGATCCCCGGTCGCCTTGGTGAAAGGCAGGTGCGCTATCCACTGCGCCACCCGACCACCCTTTTGTTTACTGGTTCCGACAGCTATAGTCAATTTTGTTGAAACTGCACTACACACAACTGTCTCGTACAAATCTCTTCGATTAACGGCCTTTTTTTTTTATTTCCCTCAATGTGTGACGTCATATAAAGTATGGCGTCATACAATTACAGAATAGTTGGAACACGTGTTGTCAAAATTAGAGCGAAATTCAAAACATTCTGGGGCCTCGCAAAAGACATCTTGGTTGCTCCGTGTACAACCGAAAGCGTAATGCGTAGGTAAAGCAGAGTCGAACAAGAAGTTTTATTGATAATGGGATAGTGAAATAAGTTATATAGCATAGGTAAAATGCACTTTCTCTGCCTTTGGCCCCCACAACATGTATAATTAAATAAAATGTGGTATGATAAAATCAAGCTACATGTATATACAATACGGAACGATACATTTTTACAGCATTTCTGGAACAAGAACGGAATGCACGACACCGGCTACAGGTCAGCAGTGTCCACGGCTACACTGGATCACAAGGTGCGTACACATACAACTGGGAACAAAAGGTTAACAACCAGTTAAATGTTATCAAACAAACAAGGACGGCATGGCTATATTTTTGTATGGAGCAACTATTAAAAAAGTGAATTTGGTTTAATAGGCAAAATAATCAGGCTTGGTGACCAAATCACATCCTCGTAATCCCAGGTGTTACGCTCTTGAGAACGTAAATTGGTGAAATTCCCAGGGGTTACGCCCTAGAGAACATAAGTTGGTGAAAATACCAGGGGTTACGCTCTAGAGAACGTAAGTTGGTGGAAATCCCAGGGGTTACCCTCTGGAAAACGTAAGTTGGTGGAAATCCCAGGGGTTACGCTCTAGGGAACGTAAGTTGGTGGAAATCCCAGGGGTTACGCTCTAGAGAACGTAAGTTGGTGGAAATCCGAGGGGTTACGCTCTAGAAAACGTAAGTTGGTGGAAATCCCAGGGGTTACGCTCTAGAGACCGTCAGTTGGTGGAAATCCCAGGGGTTACCCTCTGGAAAACGTAAGTTGGTGGACATCCCAGGGTTACGCTCTAGGGAACGTAAGTTGGTGGAAATCCCAGGGTTACGCTCTAGGGAACGTAAGTTGGTGGACATCCCAGGGTTACGCTTTAGGGAACGTTAGTTGGTGGAAATCCCAGGGGTTACGCTCTAGAAAACGTAAGTTGGTGGAAATCTCAGGGGTTACGCTCTAGAAAACGTTAACCTCTTACCTCTAGAGAACGTAAGTTGGTGGAAACCCCAGGGTTACCCTCTGGAAGACGTAAGTTGGTGGACATCCAAGGGTTACGCTCTAGGGAACGTAAGTTGGTGGAAATCCCAGGGTTACGCTCTACAGAACGTAGGTTGGTGGAAATCTCAGGTGTTACGCTCTAGAAAACGTTAACCTCTTACCTCTAGAGAACGTAGGTTGGTGGAAATCTCAGGGGTTACGCTCTAGAAAACGTTAACCTCTAACCTCTAGAGAACCTAAGTTGATGGAAATCCCAGGGGTTACTCTCTAGAGAACGTAAGTTGTTGGAAATCCCAGGGGTAACGCTCTAGGGAACGTAAGTTGGTGGAAATCCCAGGGGTTACGCTCTAGGAATGTAAGTTGGTGGAAATCCCAGGGGTTACGCTCTAGAGAACGTATGTCAAGAGTAAATTTACCACGCACATACACATACACACATATATCAGCTAAGTCATCCATTAAAATACCTCTCTTGACTTCTTTTAGGTACATGCGACACGTTGGTTTTAATGCGGAGTAAGTTGCTGATCGAGAATCATGAAATCGTTGACAAATTCACGCGCATAGGAGATGGAATGGGCAAGGCTGCACTTTACCAGGCGTACTACAACAACGGAACGGTTTCCATGGAACTCTTCTTTGTAAATACACTGAGGTCATGGGTGATAGGTAAGTCTGCTATATGTGGGTCGTGGGTGAAAGGTAAGCCTACAATATGTTGGTCCTGGGTGATAGGTAAGTCTGCTATATGTGGGTCGTGGGTGATAGGTAAGCCTGATATATGTGGGTCGTGGGTGATAGGTAAGTCTGCTATATATGGGTCGTAGGTGATAGGTAAGCCTGCTATATGTGGGTCATGGGTGACAAGTCAGCTTGCTATAAATGGGTCCGGGGTGACAGGTTAGCCTGCTCCATATGGGTCGTGAGTGATAATTCAGCCTGCCATTTGTGGGTCTTGGGTGATAGGTAAGCTTGCGATATGTGGGTCGTGGGTGATAGGTAAGCCTACTATATGTGGGTCGGGGGTGACAGGTAAGCCTGCTCTTTGTGGGATTTGGGTGACAGGTAAGCTTGCTATAAATGGGTCGGGGGTGACAGGTTAGCCTGCCCTATGTGGGTCGTGGATGATAATTCAGTCTGCTATAGGTGGGTCGTGGGTGATACGTTAGCCCGCTATTTGTGGGTCTAGGGTGATAGGTAAGCCTACTATATGTGGGTCGTGGGTGACAGGTAAGCCTGGTCTTTGTGGGACTTGGGTGACAAGTAAGCTTGGTATATCTGGGTCGTGGGTGACAGGTAAGCCTGCTCTATGTGGGTCGTGGGTGATAGGTAAGTCTGCTATATGTTGGTCATGGGTAACAGGTAAGCCTGCTATATGTGGGTCATGGGTAATAGGTAAACCTGCTATATGTGGGTCATAGGTGATAGGTTAGTCTACTATATGTTGGTCGTGAGTGACAGGTAAGCTGGCTATATGAGGATCGGGGGTGACAGGTAAGCCTAGATTATGTGGGTTACAGGTAAGTTGTGGGTTATATGTGGGTTAGCTTGCCATAGGTGGGTCGCGGATGACAGGTTAGCCTGCTATATGTGGGTCGTGGTTGATAGGTAAGCTTGCTATATTTGGGTCATGGGTGACAAATAAGCCTTCTATATGTGGGACGTTTCGTTTGTGACAGGTAAGCCTGTTATATGTGGGTCGTGGGTGACAAGTAAGGTTGCTATATGAGGGTAATGGGTGATAGGTAAGCCTGCTTTATGTGGGTCATTGGTGATAGGTAAGCCTGCTACCTGTGGGTCGTGGGTTACAAGTAAGCCTGGTATATGTGGGTCGTGGGTTACAGGTAAGCCTGCTCTGTGTGGGTCGTTGGTGATAGGTAAGCCTGCTATACGTGGATCGTGGGTGATAGGTAAGTCTGCTATGTACCTGGGTGATAGGAAAGCCTACTATAAGTGGGTCGTGGATGACAGGTAAGCTGGCTATATGTTGGTCGTTGGTGACATGTAAGCCTAGGTAAGTTTGCTATGTACTTGGGTGATAGGAAAGCCTACTATAAGTGGGTCGTGGATGACAGGTAAGCTGGCTATATGTGGGTCGTTGGTGACAGGTAAGCCTGCTATCTGTGGGACGTGGGTTATAGGTAAGCCTGCTATCTGTGGGACGTGGGTTATAGGTAAGCCTGATATCTGTGGGACGTGAGTTATAGGTAAGCCTGATATCTGTGGGACGTGGGTTATAGGTAAGCCTGATATCTGTGGGACGTGGGTTATAGGTAAGCCTGATATCTGTGGGACGTGGGTTATAGGTAAGCCTGATATCTGTGGGACGTGGGTTATAGGTAAGCCTGATATCTGTGGGACGTGGGTTATAGGTAAGCCTGATATCTGTGGGACGTGGGTTATAGGTAAGCCTGATATCTGTGGGACGTGGGTTATAGGTAAGCCTGCTATCTGTGGGACGTGGAATATAGGTAAGCCTGATATCTGTGGGACGTGAGTTATAGGTAAGCCTGCTATCTGTGGGACGTGGGATATAGGTAAGCCTGCTATTTGTGGGACGTGGAATATAGGTAAGCCTGCTATCTGTGGGACGTGGGTTATAGGTAAGCCTGATATCTGTGGGACGTGGAATATAGGTCAGCCTGATATCTGTGGGACGTGAGTTATAGGTAAGCCTGATATCTGTGGGACGTGGGTTATAGGTAAGCCTGATATCTGTGGGACGTGAGTTATAGGTAAGCCTAATATCTGTGGGACGTGGAATATAGGTAAGCCTGCTATCTGTGGGACATGGGTTTTAGGTAAGCCTGCTATCTGTGGGACGTGGAATATAGGTAAGCTTTATTTGGGTTCGATGTCTTCTGCATTTATCTTCTGATCCATCCAGTAGTTCATTCTAACATGATATATCCATCCAATGGTTTATTCTCACGTTATATTTCCATCCAATGACTCGTTATAACATGATAGCTCCATCCAGTAGTTCATTATAACATGATATATCCAGCCAGTAGTTCATTATAACATGATATATCCAGCCAGTAGTTCATTATAACATGATATATCCAGCCAGTAGTTCATTATAACATGATATATCCAGCCAGTAGTTCATTATAACATGATATATCCAGCCAGTAGTTCATTATAACATGATATATCCAGCCAGTAGTTCATTATAACATGATATATCCAGCCAGTAGTTCATTATAACATGATATATCCAGCCAGTAGTTCATTATAACATGATATATCCAGCCAGTAGTACATTATAACATGATATATCCAGCCAGTGGTACATTATAACATTGTATATCCAGCCAGTAGTACATTATAACATGATATATCCAGCCAGTTGTACATTATAACATTATATATCCAACCAGCAGTACATTATAACATGATATATCCAGCCAGTTGTACATTATAACATGATCTTTCCAGCCAGTAGTACATTATAACATTATATATCCAGCCAGTAGTACATTATAACATGATATATCTAGCCAGTAGTACATTATAACATTATATATCCAGCCAGTAGTACATTATAACATGATATATCCAGCCAGTTGTACATTATAACACGAATATCCATCCAGTAGTTCATTATAACATCAGATAANCATTATAACATCATATAACCAGCCAGTAGTACATTATAACATGATATATCCAGCCAGTAGTACATTATAACATTATATATCCAGCCAGTTGTACATTATAACATGATATATCCAGCCAGTAGTTCTTTATAACATGATATATCCAGCAAGTAGTTCTTTATAACATGATATATCCAGCCAGTGGTACATTATAACATGATATATCCAGCCAGTAGTACATTATGACATTATATATCCAGTCAGTAGTACATTATAACATGATATATCCAGCCAGTAGTACATTTTAACACGAAGATCCATCCTGTAGTACATTAAAACACGAAGATCCATCCAGTAGTACATTAAAACACGAAGATCCATCCAGTAGTACATTATAACACGATCCATCCAGTAGTACATTATAACACGAAGACCAATCCTGTAGTTCATTATAACATGATATATCCACCCAATAGTTCATTATAACATGATATTTCCATCCAATGGTTCATTCTAGCATGATAGATCCATCCAGTAGTTCCTTTTAACACAAAGAACAATCCAGTAGTTCATTATAGCACGAAGTACAATCCAGTAGTTCATTATAACAGGCAATATCCATCCATTGGTTCGCTATAACATGATATGTAAAAAAACAATGTTCATTATAGAACGATAGATGCATCCTGGTGTATTTCGTGATGTATTGTGTTGTTGTCTATTCAGTTTCTGTTGTATTTCGTGTTTTGTGTTGTCGTCTCTTTAGTTTCTGTTGTATTTATTGATGTTTTGTGTTGTTGTCTCATTAGCTCCTGATGTATTTATTCTTGTTTTGTGTTTGTGTCTCGTTAGCTCCTGTTGTATTTATTGATGTTTTGTGTTGTTTTCTCTTCAGTTTCTGTTGTATTTCGTGTTTTGTGTTTATGTCCCATTAGCTCCTCGTGTATTTATAGATGTTTTGTGTTGCTGTCTCTTCAGTTGCTGTTGTATTTCGGGTTTTGTGTTGTCGTCTCTTTAGTTTCTGTTGTATTTCGGGTTTTGTGTTTGTGTCCCGTTAGCTCCTGATGTATTTAATGATGTTTTGTGTTGTTGTCTCTTCAGTTCCTGTTGTATTTATTGATGTTTTGTGTTGTTGTCTCTTCAGTTCCTGTTGTATTTATTGATGTTTTGTGTTGTTGTCTCTTCAGTTTCTGTTGTATTTCGGGTTTTGTGTTGTTGTCTCTTCAGTTCCTGTTGTATTTCGTGGTTTGTGTTGTCTTCTCTTTAGTTTCTGTTGTATTTCGTGTTTTGTGTTTGTGTCCCGTTAGCTCCTGATGTATTTATTGATGTTTTGTGTTGGTGTCTCTTCAGTTCTGATGTATTTATTGATGTTTTGTGTTGTTGTCTCTTCAGTTCCTGATGTATTTATTGATGTTTTGTGTTGTTGTCTCCTCAGCTCCTGCTGTATTTCGTGATGCCTTGTACTGGTGTCGTAGTATGAGTATGTTTCTGTACAAGAGAAATTTATTTTGTTGTGGAAATGAAGCATTAAAACAAGGAATGTTGAATAAATAGATTTAGCTACATTCAATGGCTAGATTAATTTGAATATTTATGGGATTTGATAAATAGAAGAAAAAACATCACTGTACTATCAGGACTAAGGTGAAATTCGAATTTTATTTATCGCTGACAGGAAGACATGGAAAGGAAATACAGATAGCCATGCACCTTGAGAGTAATTCCAGAGACCCACAGGAGAATACTGATGGAATTCATATTCTCGTCGGGTCTTCTGAGCTTTCCGGCTTACAGTGGGAGTTGGATCCAGACCTGCAGTTCCGATGTGAAACAGGTAATAAAGACCTAATTGTATATACATGTATATAAATATATCCCTTCTTTCGTTTTAGTGAACTCTGACTGCGTATAATTCAGTGTATACGTACGCAATAGGAAAAGGCTCAGAGGATACTATATATGCTTGTTTTAAATGTGGCTCCGTTCACGGCTCAGCGATTACAGTCCGATTACACCCATTGCTTGGTTCCTTCAACATCTGGAAACATATGGATCATATTCGAGATCCATTATGTCTAATTATACAACAGAAAGATGCTAACAAACCTTGTATTTAGTCATAAGTAGAAGATGTTTTATGGTGCGCGTCAGAATATACTACCGTATACGTCGTCAAAATGATAATGAATCCTTCTGTAAAACAGAGACCTTCTTTTTATTCAAATCAGATAAATGACCCCAAACTAACACCCCAAACTTACACTTAAGGTACCGTATTGCTGGCTTTTTGTTTTACTGTAAATATGGGTGATTTATATGAACACATGCTTGCCAAATATCATGACAAATGGGCCTTTCGGTTCCTAAAAAGGGGAGAACAGTTGATGGACGGACTATGGATAGCGCTACAAGTTCGTGCCATATTAAACTAAAAGAGGATGACGTATACCACGCCAAGATGCATGGTGCTAAGTGTGCTAATATTTGTGTCAGTAAGTTGTTTTTCTTATTCAGAGAGAAATACATCAAGAAACAAGCGGGCTTTTTGGTAAGTGTTCATCAAAATAGTAACGTAAATGAGAAACTTCTTGTGTTTGTTTACTTGTAAATTTTCTAATCTGGTTTTGATGGCGACATGCAACAATTCTACAATCAGTTTTCATTTAAACATCTGCTTATTAAATGATACATATTTATATACGCATTATGTATTTACCCTTAACGTGTTGTAGGCTCATAAGTCTGGGTATAACAGCGCTTGTTACCACTGTCACTACAACTGTTACCCAAGGAGTTGCTCAACAGAAAGGATGTTTATTTTATCCATCTGTCTGTGAAATGATGTAAGTTCAAACTGTTACTTTTAGTTATGACTTTACCCGGTGTGAACTTAATAGAATGTACATGTATTTACTCCTGCCCCGTTAAATATAATTTCTCTATTGACGTTTGGGGCTAAATGCATTGTTATGACGGGGATCCCCACCTTCACCTTTTAACTCAAAGGTGAGACTAATAGAATCGTTCATCCCCTTGGGGATGAGATAGGGGAATCTTAACACGAGGCTTGCAGAATGTTTGACAACTTAGGAATCTTTCCACGAGGCCCATCTCATCTCAAGGGGTGAATTATTCTTTAACTATATTGTTAACCTTGTCATTATCTGATACAATATTTATGTTATGGGCTCAATTCATTGTTGACGTGACGTTGATGTATTGTTTATGTTACGTCATCATATTGTCGACGATCCCCGTCTCAATCATACCCTAGATTGGAACGTATACATTATCACACTGTGTTTTCGGTGTTTCATCACGAACACTTTGGATAAAATCGAGACGCCACCGCAAAATACTAAAGATTGTAAGGGTTTGTCTTAAGAACATTTTTTCTCATTTCTCGCTCGTGGATAAAATATTGAGTTCAAATGCTCGGCTCGGTTTAAGCCGGAACAATGACGGAAAGCCCCATCAATCAAATAACCTCGAGATTTTCTCCAAGTGCGTGCGATTAGAAAAACGAGAGCATGTTCCCACAGCGAGATAAACTGTTTATCATCTATATACTACTGCCTTATATATTTCATCAATAAAAACAGTCAACTGAATATCATGTCTTTCAATCGACTTCTAGGCAGGGGCCTAGCAATTGTCGATATCCTCGCACTCGTGAAAAATATCAAAATATTAGACACCATTTAATATCCTCTATATCCCAGCCCCAATGGGCTGAACAATTCTATTTGTCTTACCTGTAAGGCGGGAAAATATTGTATTAGTCTCACCCTTGGGTTAAGACGGGAAGGGGTGGGTTCCCCGCCATAACAATTTTAAAACGTCACGTCAACAATGCAAATGAGCCCGTAACGTAAATTATAGCATTTGTACATTCCACCCTTGCAATGAGATAGGGGGCAAGCTTTACATTTGGCAACTCAAGTTCCTTTTTCCTTAGATAGAGGTTCCTATTTCTCCCCAAGGAAGTGTGAGAATCTATAAATCCCAAGAAGATGCTCCCGGTTTGGGAACTACATTTATCATCTATATACTACGTTATATCACTATGTTATAGCATGATAAATTCATTACCATGGGTTGTCAGTTAGAAAATACCCCAGAATAATTTTGCCCATTTACCGCCATTTGGGAACGTATTTTCTCAATAAAAAATGTCTGCTCGCGCCAGGTGACATCCTAACCCGGAAATGATATCCACACAAAAGTGATCCGCGTAAGAACATCGTCCGCCATAAACAAATCAATAAAAAGTAAACAATATTGTTAGGATAATAAAACCATTTCAAGCGTAGTTTTTCTACATAGTTTTAAGGTTCATTGTATTTCTCCGGGCAATTCTTCTATTTATTAAAGTTTGTCACAGAGTGAGACAGAGGAATTGCGATCGTTGACCATTGAGCTTAGAAGTCATTTGGAAAACATGGTGTTTAGTTGACTTTTCTAAATGGAGAAATGTATAAGGTAGTAAGTATAGTATATAGATGTTAAATAGTTTATCATACGGTATTTCAGCCTTTTGCCGTTCGAACACTTTTCTCATTGTCGCACGTAGATTAAATCTGGAGTCCTCTCGATTTTATCCACTTGCTCGGGATGAGAAAATACAGTGTGATAATCTATAATTCATATTTTTTTTCTCAATCTTGACCAGGGAGTACATTTAAACAAACGCTTGCGTTCAAAATGTTCAGTACCGTATCGGCTGTCGTTTAGTAATGTGACGTCATTTCGATACATTTAAATGTCCTTGTTACAGTCCTTAACTTAGCTTATCAACCAAGAAGGTGCTATAATCCAATAACAACAAGTAATAATTGTAATGGGGGACCTTTACAGATGTCCCCCAAGCTGCCCCATAGTCACAAAGATGCATCAGAAAAGGTTCGCAATGCCATAATACACTTACAATATTCATACTAAATTTGAGTGACATGGCACAATTTCTGAATTGCGACCAATCAGAAGTGTTTGTGTGGTTGCTATGGCAACGATACCCATGCGATTGAATTCGCAGTCCCCTTATACCCCTATATACCAATTTTCATAAAAATCGAACAATATCTAAATTTCGACCAATCAAAGGCCAGGAAATGGCAGCCATTTTGTTAAATCACAAAACAAACACCGCAGTTGTATTTGTAGTGCCATACCAAATTTCATCCAAATCGGACAGTATTTAAATTTTGACAAATCAGAGGGGGAAAAACGGCGGCCATGCATTTTGTTGAAATGTGAAATCTAAGCTTAGGAAGTAATCATTGTCCTATGATTCACCTACATACTAAATTTGATCAAAATTGGACAATATTTAAATTTCGACCAATAAGAGGCCAGGAAATTGGGGATGAGTGATCAAATTTGATCCAAATTCGACAATATTTATATTTCGACCAATCAGAGGACAGGAAACCGGGGCCGAGTGATCGTTTTCCCATGATTCAGCTACATACCAAATTTGATCGTAAGTTTAATCACAAAACAAACACCGCAGTTGTATTCGTAGTGCCATGCTACACCTAGGCACCAAAGTTCATCCAAATCGGACAGTATTTAAATCTTAACCAATCAGAGGAAAAAAACGGGGGCCATTTTGTTGTAATGTGAAACCTGATTATCTTACGGAAGTGATCAGTGTCCGATGATTGTTTTGGTAGGGTCATACTTCACCTATATACCAAATCATACACGAACACTCATGTAAAATTTCGTTAAATTCCGCTCTACGGTTTTCGAGAAACCTCGTCAGCGGAAGAAAGTGGAAGAAATAATAATAATAACTAGAATTGCAATTGCGAGCAATAGCGGAAGTAACCCCTCCCCCGCTTATTACACAGCCATTTTGTTTTTTTCACAAAATGAGCACCGCAGTTGTTTTCGTAGTGCCATACTTCACCTACATACCAAATTTCATCACAATTGGACGATATGTTTAAATTTCGACCAATGAGAGACAAGGAAATGACAGCCATTTTGTCGAAATGGGAAACTCAGGCTACGAAAGTGACCGGTGTCCCATGATATACCCACATACCAAATTTCATGAAAATCAGACAATATCGAAAATTGGACCAATCAGAGGTCAGCATATGGCAGCCATTTCGTTTTGTACAAAACGAACACCGCAGTGCCATACTATACCTACATAAGTTCATCAAAATTGGACGATTTTTTTATTTCGACCAATCAGAAGCCTGCATTTGGCTGCTATTGTGAATCCATAGTCAATAACTTTTTTGTCGAAAACGAGCGCTGTGACGTTATAATCCCTTTCACTGAGTTTGGTTTAAACTTTGTTTTATTCAAATTTTGTTTGACAATACATTGAAGTACATGTTTTATAGAACAGAAAAGGAAACAAAAACAAGTGTCGGAACACTTATGTAAATTTGTTACCTGCTTAATAATCAACTTTTCAACACTAGCTACAAGAATGAAGTTATATGTACAACAGAAAAATTACGGGAATAGGGGAGGGGGTAATGGATTGGTATGCAGTGGAAACCAGGAATGAATAACATATCAATATACATATGATCATCAGATGGTAATATCATATTGCTCTATTGCAATGAGTATGTGGAACACGGTTCTGTAAAATATAACTATGCAATAGTAAATGGACACACGATAAAGGTTAAAATGTATATACATGTTACATAGAATAAATCACCACTAAATCAACTATTGACAAAACTAGAATGTCACAAAGCACCACCATGATTTAAAACGTTGCAGTTCGCATACTAGCCATCACACTTATTAAATATAAGTCCATAAAACACTTTACCGCCTCGTCCCTGGCACGTCCTGCTATTTCAAGGGAACACATCACTTTATCAAACTATCATACTCATGGCCAGTTAGTGACATAATATGGTATAAAGAAATGCAATGGCAAAATCACTGAATAAGCATATAAATCCAAATACATTTTAAAACATAGAAGTAAAACGAATGCAACACAACATACATATCTATATATGTCAAAATGAAATTTGTAAAGGACTATTCAGTTATTCGGAATCTTTTAGTTTTGAGTATATAATTTTGGACGGCTAGAAAAATTGTAGTGTTTTCTTGATGGATTAGAGAGTCATCACCAAAGAGTAAAAGATTAGTAGATAGTTGATACGGCAAACTCAGAATTTGAAGCTGTCTAAGTGCTGTATATTTATTACATTTTAGCAAATAATGTGTTGAGTTCTCAATGGCACCGCAGGAACAATTCGGGGATGGTATGGTGTTTTTCGTAAACAAGTGTTTTTTTAGGGAGCTACATGACATACGCAGTTTTGCGTGGTAGATTTAACCCAGACGTGTACCCTGAAAGTAGTATGAAGGTGGACATGATTTACTATTAGATTTCAGAAAGGCTTTTAAATGGGAAATGGAAGGATTATTTCTAATATGTAATGGAAGAGAATTCCAATTGTTTACAGCAGAAGGAAGAAATGCATTTAGATAAATATTTGTTTTACAAAGAATAGGTGTCAGACATGATGGGTCAGAAAGTCTGGTATTATAACTATGAACATCACTAACTGATTTAGGTAAGAGATTATACAGATACTCTGGAGTATTTTGATAAAACATTTTATGGAATTATTACAATTTATGATTAAGTCTACGGTCTATTAATTTATTCCATCCAACTTCTGTATATAGTTTGTCTAAGCTTACAAGTTTAGTAGCACATGAAACAATTCTAGCAGCTTCCACATTAACATTCTCTAGTTAAGAAATATATTCTTTGGGAATGCTATCCCAGACAGTATCAGCATATTCCACAAGTGGTCTAATAAACGAAAAAATATATATTTTGTAATGTTTGCCTGTCGAGTTTAAATTTTAGAGATCGAATAATATTTAATCTAGACGTTGTTTCTGAATTATTTGTTTAACATGTTCAACCCAACTGCAATTATTCGAAAAAAGAACTTCACGATGTTTATGTAACAGTACCTCTGATATTTCTTCATTGCGCATATGTAAGATTGGATGGGGTTGACTGTTTCTTTTTCTACTAAGGGTCATATTTTCCGTTTTTTTAGGATTGAAATTAACTAACCAAGATTTGGACCATTCAGTAATTTCCGTAGATCTGACTCCATAATGTTCACTGAGTTTCATTATGTTCGATCAAATAGAACAATTTTTTTTACTGGTTATGATTTCGGCCAATCAGAGCAGCGGCGGACATCTTGGATGGTTGACGTAGAAAAATAGGAGTCAGATGTACAACTACAAATTGTACTGATTATATATGCAAAGCATGATAAGAATCCCATTAGTAGTTCCTGAGATTAAGCGCAGACATCGGAAAAATAATAATAAAAATAATAATAAGAACTAGAATTACAATTGCGAGCAATAGCGGAAGTCATCCCTCCCTAAACGAGCACCGCAGTTGTGTTAGTAGTGCCATACTACACCTACATACCAAATTTCATCAAAATTGGACGATATTTCAATTTCGACCAATCAGAAGCCTGCATTTAGCCGCCATTTTGAATTACATTTCGAAACTCAGGTTACGAAAGTGACCAGTGTCCCATGATATACCTACATACCAAATTTCATGAAAATCAGACAATATTTAAATCTTGATCAATGAGAGGCCAGGAAATGGCAGCCATTTTGGTTTTTCATAAAACGAACACCGCAGTTGTGTTCGTAGTGCCATACTACACCTACATACCAAATTTCATAAAAATTGGACGATAATTGAAGTTCGACCAATCAGAAGCCTCCATTTGCCCGCCATTTTGAATCCAAAGTGAATTAACTTTTTGTCGAAACGATCGGTGTGATGTTATCATCCCTTTCACTAGGTTTCATTATGTTCCGTCAAATAGAACGAATACTATTACCAGGTTTGATTTCGGCCAATCAGAGCAGCGTAGGCCATCTTGGATGTTTACACAGAAAAATAAGAGACAGATGCACAACTAGATATCGCACTGATTATGTATGCAAAGTTTGAAACCAATCCGGTTGAATTTGCAGTCCCCTAATACCCCTATATAGCAATTTTAATCAAAATCGAACAATATCTAAATTTCGACCAATCAGAAGCCTCCGTGTAGTTGCTATGGCAACGAAGCCCATGGGGTTAAATTCGCAGTCCCTTAATACCCCTATATACCAATTTTCATAAAAATCGAACAATATCTAAATTTCGCCCAATCAGAGGCCGTGGCGGCCATCTTGGTTGACCGATCGGAAAATAAAAGGTCATTTGCACACACACTGACCATGATGAACACTTCTGTAAAATTTCATTAAGTTCCGTCCAATAGTTTTTGAGAAATGGAGTTAAACAAAAAAGTCCCCCACTTCGTTTTGGGGACTTAATAATAAGAAACGGAGCAACAACAATATGTCCCCAAATATTGTTTGGGGGACATAACAAGCACCATTAACGTAATGTAATCGCTTTCCAAACGGAATTCAAATTCAAATTATGACGGGTATCGTTTGCGATTGACGTTCACCGCCTGACGGGAATAGTGATCATAGAATGCACTCTTTGGTTCCCGCAAAATGTCTGTTCCGCCATTTTACAAAACATTAAAATGCATTTTTAATCGAATGAGGACACAGAGAATGAAAAAAAAAAGAAATTTTTTGTTGTTTTGAACGTAATGTGCTTATCAATCCTTTAACGATACGCGACGTAATGATATTGATTTCCCTATCAACATTCTTAGATATTATAGACTCTGTTAATAGTTCAAGTCCATATTTGAAACAGGATACACTACTTGTATTAGCATGTCTCGTCGACATAACATCGTTTCGGATCGGATTGAAACACATAATGCCAAAATAAAACAACCCATTCCCTCACGCGATCGATTGAGTATTGATAACTGATATATCAATTAAAAACCGTTTAAATTTGTGTTTCCACTCAAATATATTTTGCCTTTTTATAAGGGAACACGGATACTTGTATCAATTGATTTAGCATATTCGTTCTAGGAGAGGGTTTGCCCTGAGGAACATAGCATATCTAGGGTGAACAAATACAGTATGCAAGTTTTTCATCGTCCGCGTTGATCACGATTTATTAAGAATAAATCTTGTTTTCTTCACAAAAAAGGAACACTTGTGCCATTAGTCTCTTTATTACGAGTTTGTTTGTTAATAATATTAATTATATGTTTTAATGATTATGCCTTATTTAGCCCGAGTTTCCCCTAGCCCTGACACCAGACTTAGACATTTTGACAGATAGATGACTGGTGTGGGACCATCCATCTATCTGTCAAAATGTGTAAGTCTGGTGTCAGGGTCAGAGGAATCTCGGGCTATGCCTTATTGTTCACTACCACTTTGTCTGTTTCAGAGATGAAATCACAGGAAGTCTGAGTCCAAAATCAAAAAAGCTGCGTTCGGAATTAAAAAGGGAAATGGAAGAAATCGGCTGGACAAATCTGTCATCACAACTCGAGTCAACACAGACAAATTACAGACGTTTGATATTTTTAATGAACAAGTTAAATAAAATGACAGATATTTCAAACTTTACTGAATTATCTGAATTTTACCCGAACACTTTCCTTACACATTACCAAGAATGGCTTCAAGATACATCGATAGCTTATGTGATGGGATTATTTGAATCTGGTTTTGAATTTCTGATTCTCTTTAATTTGATGGTGTCAACAGTTACACAAACGACTGCAATGATTTTAAGTGGTTTAGTTTTTGTTCTCGGCATAGTGACTTCTGAGTCTGTATTACTCAATCAGATAACAGAAGAAAGGAATGTTCGAGACAAGCTCAGACAAAACAAAATTAGTCTAGAGCATGCTATAGATGTAATGGAAAAGAATAAAAGACAAATCGAACTTTTCAAGTTAAAGTATATAGAACAGATTGTGAACCCATTGCAATCATTAGTTGCTCCCTTTCAAAAAGAATTTCCATCATTACACCTTTATTTGCAAAACCTGAACAACACTAAGAACATAAAATACAGATATACGCGTGATATTAATTCACACCTGCAAAAGTTAATATCATTCATTGAAAGGGACTTGGAGAGAGCAGACAGTATTATAAGGCAATATGAACTTTTCAATGCGACATTGAATGTGCTCAAAAATGATATCGCTGACAAAAAACAACCCATCAACATAATCACAAAGATTCATGATATCTACCATAACACCAGTTTACCTACAATATTTAATTCGACGTTTGATTTGCTTCAATACATAGCTGTTAACCTGACAACCAACGTAAGTAGCTGTTATTGGGGAATCCGAATGGATCTGATAAGGAGTGGAGTGTTGGGCAGGAATACTTACACTTCTGTTCCGTTGTGTTGGTCTCCAGAGCTTGGAGAACATGAGCGAACTATCCGAACCAACGTCATACAGACAATCGCTCCTTGTAGAATCTTCCGACAGTTGGAAGGTGAAATATTTAACAGTATGTCCAAACTGATAAAATTTATTGCCGATTTTATTCTACCAAACAAGGACTGTTATTGGGGGTATGACCTTGTCTACATACGAAACGCTAGTCGACCACTACCTGTTCTTGAAAGCATGCAACTACATTATAAAACCTTTCTATATATAGATGTAGCTATGCATTTCAATGTCAGTACATCTAAAGTATTCCAAGAGATGTGTGAAAGTTATGGTATTTGTAAACAAATGTGGCAAAAATTTGTATTCTGCTCTGTACGTCCGGTTCCAGGGAATAACATCCATATATGTGTTGAAGAAGTGGCTTCAGACTGCAGAAATATGACAAGTGTCTATGTTAAGGATTCGTCTTGCTAAAAACAGTTTTTTGGAAAAACGGCCAATATATGGACTATACGCATCATCATCAACTTTCATATGGTACCCACTTATATGTCTTTTTTAACTTACTAAACATATTTTATAATTTACAATGTTTAAATGATGTAGAATAAGTTATTACAATGTACTTTTATTAATATTTTCATTTTGTTTTATTTTAAACATGTACGTAACCAATTATTCATCTGTATTATATGTCATTGAAATAAATTATGTGAATAGCTTCCATATTGATTCATTCATATCAAAAAGACTTTGAGAAATGAAATGAAGCGGCATACAATTACACAGACTGGATTGGAAATGTTAATATGGTGATTTCCGTATTTACGTAGAATCAACGTTAATAAAATGATGTGTAATAACCTGGAAAACTTATTGTCCATTCGTAATGAAGGAAGATGATTAACGATTGCTCACACAGATACACGCTTACAATCTTGATAATTTTTCAATAAAATTTCTGGCAACTTGTGTGTATGAATTATTCTTTAAAAATGGTGTAAAGTAACCGATAAAATTAAATTGGTAAAACACGTGCTGACAAACTAAATGACAGTTAATGAAAAGTCACTGAAAATCAAATGTAATTGAAAATATATATACATTTATAATTTCAATTGACGTTTTGATTATGTTTTTTTTGTTTGGCTATGTATCTCAAATTGCATTCCAAGTGATTAGAGCAAATGTTGATCAGTCAAAAATTGCTAAATGCCTGGATGAATTGTCAATTCAGATAACTTTTATTGTGAGGTAAAACTACGATGAAGCGAGAGTCTAATTACGAAACCGAAGTGAGTACTTTTACACTGATGCTTTCCAGCGAGTATTGGCCGGTAGCCATATTAACTGGATATGAACATTTTTAAATGTCACGAATTTGAACGTTGCTTTCCTTTAAAATATGATATTTCATTCCAATCTTTTTTATTGAAAAATTAATCAATCATCACGGAAACACAGTGTCAAATATGATATCTCAGGGGAAGATATTATGACGGTATTTCTTTCCTACTCAAAGATCATCATAAGACATAGGTCATCCTATTAACAAATATAAATGCTGCGGTTTAATGCACAGTTTGAGTATTAAAGGACATGCATATCGTTATAATTGGTTTTTCAAAATACTAGCCGTATAGGCCCTAAATTTTTCAAATTTTAGATACCCCATCAAGGATATCAAACATATCGTTTTCTTTAAATCTATAACATATAATATTTTACGTTTCCGGTTGTAGACTATACAATAAATATTTTGTCATTTATAAGAAACACTCTTGTCAAAAAAGGTGATAAATAAAGATGGGCTATTTGTTTTGGAGAGATTAGCGAAACATATAAAAATCACTTAAATGGACACTGATCGAAAACACTGCGAAATCCTTGATTCAATGCTGCATTATAAGTATCTTAGCCTATACATTGCACTCTACATTATTGATGTAATTTTTAACTAATAAACTATTTAATATTCGTGTCTTATAAGTCGTAGGGCCTATATATAGACAGCTTTTGAAATATGACGTGCGGGTAAGTCATTTGATAAAGATATAATGCTTGGCCGGCAAATCATCCTAAATCATGATATTATATCATAATGTATATATAGATCGTTAAATTTGAATGTGATATTCCAAACAATGACATAGAATCGTTTCCCATTGCTAAGCAGAAGTAAAAAAGCAAGCATTTATACTAAAATTAACTATAATCATTAAACAATATGTCTGCTATAACTATGCATTAAATAAATCCGGTATCTCATATATGTATACTACCCGAAGCTGCTAGTGGCCCTAACTTAATGTTAATGAAACGCATGCTTCTTGTCGTGTTTTATTTATTTTGTCTCCCCAAAACATTTCCGGATACATTGTCCCGAACCTTGTCGAACTCATCTCTCAGAGATGCATTTGTCAACACTACACTTGGCAGAGGAGATGAAGAGTGAAGCCATGGGTTTACAAGAGATAATGAGCAATGTGTGTTCTGTTGATGGAAACGTTAAACTCAGAATGACATGTAGTCATCAGCTCATTAATGCAGTTACCTGCCTTACAACATTGATTTGCATATTGATATGTATAATTCTGAACTAGTTCTGAACTATATTAAACCCAAAACATGAAAATTGATAGCATCCGTCAGTCCAAGATCGCAGACGCTTCCAAGACATTGATCTGCACATTGGTGACATCTAGACCAGACAGTGGTTCCTACAGTACAACGCCTAGACATACGATATGTATGGATTCACTAGTTGTCGTTTGAGAACCTCTACAGTGTGCAAACTTCAACTTCCTCTCTCGTTACGTGTAAAGGGAAAAAGAGAACATTCATCACCCGTTCTTAAATTCATGCAATGGCTTACAGTAGAGTGACGCCAGCACCAAATGTGTACGAAATCGAGACACATCTTGGAAAATCTCTAGAGCACCACCAAGAACTTGTGCTACCATACCTTTTCTAAGACTTTTAAGTTCACTCAAATCAGCTGAAAGACATTGTTATTCAAAATCGCTGTTCAACTTGATGCTCCAACAGTTTTACTGTGCATTACCTGAATATTATTGTCATGAATTAATCTAAACGAATTTTGTTGTAGTCACGTTGCATTTATGTAAATCGATAAAAAAAATTTTTTTTAATAAAGTGATTGGGCGCTATACAAACAAGAGGCCCATGGGCCTTAACGGTCACCTGATATATTTATACAGAGAGTTGATTTTGTTTTTAACATGTACAGAAATATTATTCAAAGTGACAAAAAACAATAAAACCACATTATTCAATATCTAGCGTATAGATTTAAGACTAAAAAGTTTTTTAAACTAACACGTCTGATTCTAAACAAGGAAAATGAAGAAATTTTAGCACACTGACTCAACCCTACAGCCCTTGAGGGTAGGGCTGGCTCAACATTTCTCAAAGTATCAAACTGTCGAAACTGTCAATTCAAGGTTATAATTCCAATCAAGTTATTAACATGTAATATTCAAAGTATCATTTGCCATTATAAACCATAATAAATTTTGCCCCCCCCCCCCTTCCCCAGGGGGTAAACGTGAGACCCTAGGGTCATAAACCTTAAGACCCTTCCATCTATGAAGAGTATTTGATTCTACCATATCTGGGTCTTGAGAAGAAGATTTTTGAAATTTCAGTCAATTCAACCCTTTTTGGCCCCACCCATCAGTCCCTGGGTGTCAGTCAGGGCTCATATGTGCATATTATCAAACTGCTACCTAATACTGATAATGCTAACCCAAATTGAATTACTTCCAATGGAAATTAAACAAATGTTGGTCCAAAATGTGATTTCCCAATATAAACTATAGTAAAGTTTACCCCCTCCCCAGGGGGAAACGTGAGACCCCAGGGTCCCAAGTCCATTAACGATCACCTGAATTGTACTTATTTCTGTTGTTGATGCATGATTTGGAAAGAATTATGTATACATTAAAAGAAGCGACTTATCCTTTAATAAAGCAAAACGCAGAAAAAACTCAACTATTTTCTTTTTAATTTAATCTAAATAGATAACATAAATTAGGTCTTATCAAAAGCGCCATTTTCAAACGTACTCAAGAATCGTTTCCATGGAAACTATACTATTAGATATCCCAAAAGGGTTTAACATTATCATGAAGTATTATTTGACACTTCCAATTCGCATCACACTTCCAATTAATATCAATGAAAATTATTTGATTCTTGCATTTTTTGGTTCAGCAGATGTCAAACTTTTCCAGAAAAAGTACAAAATTCTAGGAGCCATCAAAAGCTTTCTGTTGCCCAATTCTAATTGCATACAAAACAAAAACAATAATTAATAGAAATCGTAATTAAGGCGGTAGAGTAATTGTAATACTATAAATGTGTGGAAATGTAATTATGCCTCAACCATTCCTTTCTTTGATAAATGTCGTCAAATAGAATAGAAGACAAGATCAAGACAAACCATAGAATCAACAAAACTGTATTTTAACTCAAAATCGATAAAACTAGGGCAAAATATGAACAATTGAAAGATTCACATAGAGGCCCGCGAACTAAATATACTTAAGTGAGACCAGGTGTTTTGGAAAGATAGGTGTCTTGTGTGTCATCGATGGCACCCGCTATGTAAGTCTATGTTAAATCCAAGTATGACACGTCCTCATAGCGAGAACTGGGATAGTGATACAACGCCGTTGGTTGGGGACGCAGGGATAATGATATACAATTTTGATGAAAACAGTCCTGTGATTATGAACAAGTCGAAAAAAATACCATGTTTACGGACGGACGACGCAGACCAGACGGTTGTAAAAGTTCAGACGTGACTTTGTCTATAGTGACTTGAAAACAATGCTACCAATATTTTAGTTATAATGACCTTGACAAATGACTTCCATGCGCATATTCGAATTTGTGCACTGTATGGCAAACAAAAATATATCAAAGTCTTGTCACGTAATGATCACAAGGACTGCGACGAAAGAATTATAATTTTAGTAGCAATGATCTTGACCTTTCAACCAACCGAAATTTGTCAAAAAGTAAACATACCTATGCTTTTTTTTTTTTACTTTCAATGAATATGGCTGCTAGAACGTTTACAATAATGCTTAAATGAGTGGAAACAACACTTTCTCTAAGCAACCATTTATGACGAAAGGGGTCGTAATTAAGATTTAATTATACTGACAATCAACAAATACAACTGCTGACAGTAACTTGAAACTTATCTGGATGTAACAAAAACTGCTGACAGTAACTTGAAATGTATCTGGATGTTACAGAGTAATTAAGATAAGCAAATCTCTCAACATCGAAATTCTGTGTACCCAACACGGTGGTATTGTTGCTTTTCTCAATATAAGCACAATTAACAAAACTGTTCATTAAAACAAAGCCGTGTTTGATGGGAACTTATTCACTCAGGATTTATTCCTTGCAAAAATTGGGTGGAAGTGTAATGCTCTTCTCGTCAATAGTTGCACCATCCGGCCACTGATACAAACCTGGTGGCATAGTTGGTGTTTTCGGAATCAGCATGCCTTTACCAGCCATTTCAGGCTCAGTATCTACAGTCTCGATATCAATTTCACTGTCGGTACTTTCATTTTCATCGCTTGAAGAAACTTGCTTTGACTTCTGCTTGGACCTCCGCTGTTTTTTCAAAAACTCGTCATAATCTAAACGAGGTTGTGGTTTGGATTTTCGCGGATTTCGTTTTCGTGGATTTGTCAAACTTTTTTGCACTATATCTACAGGAACAATATCGGTATCGTCAATAAAAATTACATCATCAGTATTCGTCTGATGATTTGAATGGGATGTTTTATGAGAATCTGTTGGGAGGGTTTGTTTAGCCCTTTTGATGACTGAAGCTGTATCTGCTGCCGATGACCTATCTGGTTTGGTTTCCGAAGGTATTGATGTATGCAGGACTGCTTTACTGGACGTCGATTTACTCGACTGGCTGGGTAATGTCTGTCCTTGGTTTTGACTGGCTTCACTCCTTTCCAGTAACAATTTCATTTTCTTCGCAACAGATAACTTTGAAAATCCATCATACTGAAGATTTCCAGTGTTATTATCTTTAACGCCTGCATTAAGCGAGGTTGGGGCAGGAGAACCTTGGGATACCGTAGGAACAAGAAGATATTTTTGATTTCCAATAGTAACAGTTTTCCCTTGAACTGGCAAAGTTGGTTGGGAATCCGTATTTTCCACGCCTCTGGGGCCAATGTTTACCACTGTAGGTGCCTGTTTGTTTTGTTTTTCTGCCATTAATTTGGTCAGTGCCTGTAGTCCCGATTGAGGGATTTGTCCAGGAAGACAGTTCTGTTTCAAAAACAAGGTACCAGGCGGAAAGTTCATTGTGCTTGGCAAGACACTGGACGTTTGAATCACAGGAACAGGCTGCTGTATCGAAGTGACCGTAGACTGCCCGATAGCTGCTTCTTGTACAGGAGGAACAATATTTCTGACTTGAGCCCCGGTAATTGTTTGTAGTTGTATCTGTGGTGTAGATGGGATGTTTAATACATTTGTCTGTTGCTGAGGTTGTTGCACTATTTTGTTTAGTACAAGCTGTCCCGTTTGTACAACATTCGTCTGGTTTGGATTTGTATACATGTTGGCATAAACTAACTGTTGCTGACCCTGGTTGGGAACGGCCTGATTGGCATTGGTCAATACAATATGCTGGGCGCTCTGAGTTACAGGTATGTGTGGATTTGTGTTTGCCAAAAACAATCGTGGTGGTCCATTTGTGTTACCATTTGCTAAAATCAACTGAGAGCATTGACTTTTCGGTGGCCGATTTGCATCCGTAAGAACAATTTGTGGTTGAATCGTAGAGGTCAACTGATTTGGATTGGTTAACACCACTGTTTGATTCTGGGTACCTGTTGAATTTGCACCAGTCAGAACCACATGTATTGGATTTTGAGCGCCTTGAGGTGCGTTTAAACCTGTCAGAACTAAGCGTGCTGGATTTGAGGTATTTGTTGAGTTTGAACCAGTCAGGATCACTTGCGATGGATTTTGGGTACCTGTTAGAACATATTGAAGCGGCACCTGAGGTGATGATACCTGGTTATTATTTGTCAAGAAGAGTGGAGTATTTTGGACCAAAGGCACAGTGTTAGATCGGTTTTCAATGTTCTGATTTTCTTGTGCAGTTGATGAAGTCTTCAATGTTTTGCTATTATCTGTAGGTTTCAAATTGACTGGCATCTTACTCTTGTACGGGGCAAATGACACGGTTGCCTTTAGTGCATTAACGGTTAATTCGGCTGGTGCGGTAGACTTAGATTTTGACTTTGAAGCCTCTGTTCTTGATTGGTTTAGTGAGTGTTTTTCTCTGAAATCGGCAATTTTCTTTGTTTGTGGTGCATCTGTAGTGCCGAGAATTCCTTTCAGCGTAGAATATTTTGTTATGTCTTCTGACGCGGTAATATCTTGTCGCCTTTTCAAAAGTGACACTAATCCAGGCTTAGTCTTCAATTTAAGATCAATGTGTCGACGACTTCCATCTTTATGAATGTGTGAATGATGTGAATCACCGTACTCATTATCTTCATACTTCGGCTCGACCTTCACTTTAATATGTTTAAACATTGCCGATTTCACATCAGAAGACGGATTTTGTAGTTCTAACCCTGGTTCTATTTTCACTTTTGTTTTCTTCAGAGTATCTTTAGTTTCTTTTGTACATTGCTTTCCCGGTGTTGTAGTTTCATTGTTCTTTTCTGCATGTGTTCTATAATCTTCCGACAAATGGTTAGCTGGATCAGATGACGTTTTTATTTGCGCATGGATAAATTGATCACGCATGATATTTGACTTGGTTGAATTATCTTTTAGTTTGGAAGACTTCTGGTTGAGGTACTGATAACGTAATTTGTCTCTCTTAGAGAGAGATTTCTTGTGCAAAATATCCCGTAGCGGCATTGTTTTTATATTTGAAGATTGTTTGACATCAACAACGTTCGCTTTATACGGTGTATCATCCTTTCCATCGAAGCTTTGCTGTGTGTTTTCTAAGCAAGACCGAGCCATGCTGTCTGATTTTATCACATCCTGTTTGTAGGTATACGGCTTCCTAGTCTTCGTTGGGGTCTTTGGCCGAGGTCTTAACCTATCACTAATGAATTTGTATCGACAGGAATATCCACACTTATCGAAACGTCTCTTCCATTGCCGGTAAAATACCCGGTGTCTTCCGGAAAGGTCATGATCAATTTTTTGCAAAACAACTGAACATGGTTTGCATAGAGCTGCACGAGATTTAGCCTGCTGTTCGACCTTGAGTATTTGTTCGATTGGTCGCGAAATGTGTTCTTCTTCATGTTGTGTTAAATACGCGTCCAATGGCATCGTGAAAACGGCATCAATTTTCAATCCCATGTCCATCGTCTCCATTTCTTCGTCGTTATCGTCCTTTTGATCATATGGCGACTTGTCCCACATGTTTTCTATTGGTCTAAACGCTGTGTCATCATCTGCTTCATTTGTCAGCATGTTCACTGTGTTTCTCGCCGCAGCCCATAGTTTGGCAGCTATGCCTGACTTTTCCGCGTCGGCACATGAACCGGAGGCCATATTGATGTCGGTAACCAGGTCTGAAATTGAACAAAAAAGTGCGCTTAGGTACACAATGATTGATAGGACGGTAATGGTACAACATATTTGTTTAAAATCAACACAGTTCAGATGTGTAACATCAATATACCGGGAATAATTACCTGCATGAGGTCCTAAAACTATATCGTTCATGGCACGGTTTTGTTTGTCAGTAATTGATATTAACAATCACCTCAAAAAAGCAATGATAGTTAATTCTCTTTGAGTTGAACCTCAGATTATTTAAGCAACATCAAATAATCACAAGAAATCTGAAGGTTGGATGTACCTTTATGAATGATCAGCAAGCTTTTACACAGTAATCTCGTTCATTTAAGGTTGATTTTATTTTGTTTAACGTCCTGTTAACAACTATAGTGATTTAAGGACGTGCCTCCATGTATAGTGTGTATACGTGCATGTGTATGGTGTGTTGGTGTATTTGCCTCCTTGTGATAGCGCGGATCTGATGCCGACTTTACAGTGCTATCTCACTAAATACCATGCCGAGGCATTCCGCCCGGTCATTTAGGACTCATCCGAGGTAATAAATATCAAAAGAATGAAATACATGTCTGAAGTGTTCCGAAGCAATATTTAGAAATACAACTAAGTGCGGGCCTTTAAACTCTTATTTACAATTTACAACTCTTTTACTACAACAGACGATCACCTTTTAAACAGGTCTACTTCTATTTCATGTGAATCGTGTCAGACTAAATCCTAGATCAAAGATAGCGGCCAACTTCGGGGACTGATGCGACGTGAAATAATATCTAGGTATACGGAGGGTAGGGAAGCTGGTATTCAATAACGAAGTACGTGCAGCCGAGCACAGGAAATATTTATAACACACATATTACGATTTAGTTCGTTTAGTAATCATCATTGGTACGAGTTGTATACAAAATGAAATTCATATCTAAAGTGCCCAAATCTTTATCACTCAAACTTCTTATTATTTTCAGATTCTGCCTTTCACTTCCGCCACTATTTTGAGACAGCTCGACCATTTTATGGGAAACTGCTAGTCGGATTCCAATAACAATTTACGTGAAAAAAATGTGTTCATAGATACGCTCGTACCCTTTTCGCAACATGCAACCAAATTGACTTTATTTCCATCTATCATGATCCGAAAACTTTAGACAAGGATTTCATTCTTTTCACCTTATATACGTCTAACGGGTCCTACATGGACGGCACGGCTATAACATGAAATAAAACAATTAACTAAGAATATGTAAAACAGACGCTTCCTTACCTCGTATTTCTACGGATCATTTTGAAAAGTTTAAATTGTTAATTATTATTGAATTCTTGCACTATACATAAAGGATCTGAAACGATTTCCCATTTAATTTTTATGGAATGAATTTTAGCGAGTTTGATAAAATTCGAAGGAAATGGTAATGGGTTTGTGAGTCTTCTTTACATCTCCCCTACCAGTGCATACAAAGCGACATGTTTATCCCTGCGCGCTACTTATCTATATAGAGAAAATGGGGAGATATGCAACCAGATAAAAAATTCCAAATTGCCTGTAGCACTCACATGATATTAATTATATGGCGAAAATGCATTCATTATAAATTTGAGCATGTTAGAGAATTTGAAGAGAACCAGCAATCGTCATTGGCCCCATCTGTGTGCTTTCAATGTTTGAAACATCTTCCATTATTGATCTTACGACTCCATGAGTTATGGGTCAGTCAAAGAAGTACCCTGAACTGCTTACCGTATTTGACACAAGTAAGCGGTAATGTTGGGAAACGTAGTTCAGTTGATCAAGCTTGATATATACTTCTATTCTAGCAAGCTACGGGACAAATATAGTTATGCCTAGCCACGTGGTTATAAAGATTATTTTAAGACATTCCCTAGCAATTATATACAGGTTATTAATCTAGGCATTATGGTTCGGTAGAAGTCGTACTTAACTCATATATATACCATGATGACCTTCAAAGTATGCCAATGTAATTGATGAAAACAAATTCGATAGCCCTCTATCCTATCAAACTACCCCACAAATACCATGACCGTTTGACGTAATGCGTTATCGTTCTGCATAAGTCGTTTGTAGTTTAACACATATGGTCATTTCAGCAAGAGATATCGCACGGAAAACATGTGACTTTTCATAAAGTCCAAGTAAGGTGTTGGCGTAATTAGTAGTAAAGGTATTTGTAGGACGTTCTACGGTAACCAAAGCATAGAGTAACCCTTTTGTGCGGACGACGCCATAAACATGCCACCTTTGCTTCGCAGGAAACACAAAAGTACCAACATTTCATTATCGTGTTCACAAGCAGGACTAGCATATGGTACCGTTAAAATTGAGGTCGAGTGGCAACTCAAGAAGAAAAGCATTATTTATCTAAAGGTGGCATGAAAATCAAAGTTTCACGATATTCGAGACATTGCTCTAAAAGTTATCTCACGAAAACTATGTCACTTTCCACGAAAATCAAAATTGCCGCTTGCAGTCATATTACCTTTAAGATTTCTGTCAAAATCGACAATTAGCGTGTATATATAGATACTGTAGCTACGTATGTGCAGACAATTTCATAAAATTCAAAGCATTTCTGTAAGAGTTATCGCATGGAATGGAACCCATTTGACTTTATGAAATCCAAGATGGCTAATCTCTATATAATATTCAAATATAAACTTTGTGACTAAATGCGTTACGTTAATAGCTTTTTATGATTAACTGATGAAAGTTCGCGGCGCCATCCTGGATTGTAAATTGCTTCGATAAATAACATCAGTTCGAAAGGGCCAGGAGGGGAATGTCTGTATCAAGTTAGGTTCATATTGGACTGAGAGAACTCAAGAAAAAGATTGATTAAGACACTATCGTCAAATTCTTGCATATTCAACAAAAAATGGAAGTTGACATTTTCCCTATAAAACAATATTTGAGAAAAAAGCGTCAACGATATAGAGCTGTTTCATAATTAACCAATCAGCACTTGCGGCAGTCATCTGTGATTTCCAACCGCTTTGATAATTAACTTGAGGCCGAAATAGCCGCGAGTGGATTTTTTGTACCAAGTCTGGTTCATATTATACTAGTAGAACTGAAGTCGAGATGAAGGTTGTTCATTGTCAAATTTATTTAACTTTATCCCTGACGAAAACCGGAAGTTGACATTTCCCCCAAAACATGTAACCGAGAGCGACACTTCAGACCACGAACAACCCAAAATAACATATATTGTTTACAAGTTAACAAACATGTTCATAATGATGCTAACTATACTTTCAAAGATAGACTGAGTTCATCTGATGTTGTGAAACACTTCGTCGGGGAGCTTTTATATATGTATGTATACCTCTCTTCATCAATACAAATGCACGCAATGGCGGTGGTCAACACAAAATACATTAATAAACTATGGTAACAATATAATAGTAAATATTTGTCAGTTATATTGATATAAAATGGTATTAACATATTGTCAAAGTACCACACTTAGTTTGGCATATTATATCGTTCTAAACATTCAATCCAATTCACGTGTACAACAAAATGAAGTAACAAAGCCGAGTCCACGGACATGAAGAAAACAACGTATTATTTATTTAATCAAAACCAACCGAACAGTAAAAATTAAAGATATTTGAGCGTGTAAAATTAACAATGGTCAATCTGAAATATCAGGGAACGTAATCTAACATATACATATTATATATCCCTGTAGATTGCCTCGTAGTGGTCTTACACGTGACGGCATAAATAAAGGGAGTTTTCTTCAATAAAAAAAATGTAGAAATCGCCAAAAGATGGATGATACATTTCTATCTAAAAATATAAATAACTTACTATTGCTTTTGACCTGGGTAAAAATGTACGGACCAGTCAAAACTAGCAAAACAATACTTGGCACATTGGTAGCAATACCAATAGTAATTAAGTCACGTGCATCAGAGACATATAAAGCCAGTAGTATATACGTCTCTGCGTGCATGCATATGGCTCGAAATATTCATTCACTCGAATATAAAAACGTTAAATGTACGTCCAAGCTTGTATACTGACAATGACATGTTATATTTCAGTAATTTCCTCAAAAAATAATCTTTTATATTTAAAACAAATGTGCCGCCGACTACATCAGTCAGCCAACGATATATATATGTCGTTAAAACTCAAGTTATTTACGGTGTAATATCGGTATATTCATAGATACCGATTGAGTTTTAACTTGTTTAAAAACCTTGATAGTTCATATAGCAAAAAATGCAATAGGTGTCTATACTACATTTTGTACGTGTCGTCTGCTCATTGCGTATTGATATCACCGGGGAAAATACTGTGCAAGTGAAGCCCCGCCTCCATGCTCACTAGTGTATGCGCGATGGAAAGCGTGCAAAGTTGCCGCCATTATGGTTGTTGAAGCACATTTTTGTTAGCATTATATCCGTTATAAGCCATCATAATTGTTTCAGACCTGTTCGTAAGCAGCTAAAAGGGCATTTAATAATTTACTTACCGGTGTTAAATCGACAGTTTGAGGTCCGTATCTCCTAAATTCCCATGCTTTTATCGGACCACATTCGTAGCTTCTTACGACTATAAATAGCGGCGGACTATATGCGAGATAGTGCATAGTCAACACAAAGTGGGTCACGCTATTGATTGACGGATGTCCCGCCCACTGCTGTTGTGCGGTCTATTATTAGCCTGGGCAACCAATCACGTGAGACACTGGCTCATGGTGGAGGAATAATGTTGTACAAAGATGCAAAGTTACAAGTTATCGGACACAAGATGCAATATATATTTCTGTTTAAACGGGACAAAGAGAGTACATGTATTTTTATCCGCTATGTTAATAAGACAAATTAGTGACCTATCATATGTAGATAGGGGATCTATAAGGGAAATTCTAACAGAGGATGTAGAATTCGGGTCAGAACCGACGCTTTGTCGAGGTTATAAGTGCAAATGATTGCACTACTTCTTGCACATATTACCCGGGAAAATGTACATTGACAGTGCGAATACAACAGTTAATACACTATATGTATACCGTTAACCAGGACCTTATTTTGGTAAGAGCGGGAAAACTGAGGTATCTGCATGAAGGTATACTAAAAAAATTAAAGTAGTTCACAGAAAATATTCATAAGCATATGAATGCCATCTGGACAAAGGCAAGTTCAATTAAGCACTGCATGTTGAATTTGCCTCTGTCAAGTTGGTATTCATATTGCTTATGCATGCCAACTGAAATCAGTTCAATATTTATATTTACCATTTTTGGAATCAAATAGAAAATTCAAATGTACGCAATATGATTTGATATACTTATATTATTCGGCATTTAGTTCACATTATGTATTTATCGTATATATACTTGTTCAATTAATAGAACATCCATCTACCAAGGGAGGGTCAAAGTGTTTGATAACGCAACAATTATGACGTCACCATTCGGCTCATGGTGTTTTCTAAACGTTGGTAAACATATTGAAATGACGCCACGTTTCAGGTCGTCAGCCGATATTTTTATAATTTCAACCGTTTGGAACTAGGGTGAAATTATTTTTACTATGTGATGCGGCGCCAATACAAACCAGATAATATAGATGTTCCGAACAATACAGAACCATTTTTATTTTTATTATGCCGGTAACGTAACGTCATGATTCCGTTCTCGATGTCATGTAAACTGCATTAGTTGTTTATTTTATGATTTTGGTAAGAAAACTGAACGTCAATTCAATTATGAGCAACGGTTTGCATGGCCGCAAATTTTGCCCCCGCGCCGTCCCATTACAACAGTGTTAGAGGGCAAGTGTAATTATATAGGCTATAATTACAACTGCTCGACTAAAAGTACAACTGCCTGTTTCAGGAGTAGGAATATGTAAACAAACAAAATGACCGCCTGAAATGTATGTTGAGGCAGGTCAAATGGTTTTTGTAGGAGTACGTCTTAAAAAAGAAAAAATATGTAAATATAAAAAAATCCCTGGTTGTCTGGATGTAATTATTGTTGATATAATTACAAGAGGCCTCTGGCAAATCCCATTAAATTGCCAGAGGCCACTTGTAATTATATCAACAATAATGAAGTGAATACTATACCCCCGACTTACANCCTGAAATGTATTTTGAGGCAGGGCAAATGGTTTTTGTAGGAATACGTCTTAAAAAAGAAAAATATGTAAATATATACGTATATATATACTGTCCCTGTCTGGATGTAAATAAAACCTAGCGGGTTTTATGGGATTTGCCAGAGGCCACTTGTAATTATATCAACAATAATTACATCCAGACAACCAGTTATTATTTAAATATATTTTCCTTTAATCACGTACGGACCGTAAGAAGCATTATATATAATTCCGTGTCATAATAAATACAGGTGAAACAGAATGGTTAATTGTTATGTAAATATCACGGAATTATCAAAGTCCGTAGTAATATCAACATTAGCGACGATGCCTAATGTGTCCCACAGGTTCAAAATTAGGTAAACCTGAACATTTATATCATATTGGATTTATTCCCGTTGTTTGAACGAGTTGTGGTACTTCCATGACATTTTCCAAACATTTTGATAGGGGGCGCTCCTTCGCGGTATATTTTCAAACCACGTGGGTCAGAAGCAAACATGGCGAAACGGGCGACAACCTACGATGTTTTTGTGGGAAATCTACCCACTGATGCGAACGAAGTAAGCTTTCTTAGTGTAAAATACAATTTGAGGATTGTTCATTGACTATATTTTATCATTTTACTCTGAATTTGGCCCGGCTCGAAGCGGAAATTGAAAAAGGAAATACCGTTTCACATTTGACACATTTTCCCGGAAAAAATT